AGAAGAAGTCGTTTGAAGTTTTTGACATATTTGACCCCTGTGACCTTGAAAACAGGTCAAGGTCATTTTCGTTCTCAAACTTTGTAGGGCTCCTACCAACGAAGCTTTCAGCCAAATATCATGACTCTAGGCCTGTCCGTTCTTCAGAAGAAGTTGTTTAAAGGAAAAGTTGACGGACGAGGACGGACGGACGGACGGACGACGGACGCCGCGCCACGGCATAAGCTCACTTGGCACTTCGTGCCAGGTGAGCTAATAACACATAAAACAGCTCAATGCTTCCATAGAACCAAACCTGATTTTGTAATATTACTTCCCGATTTCTAATGGTGATAATTAACTTCAGACATCTGATGACTAACTTCATTTCCTCAAACACAGTTATAGTGTTATTGTGTTTCAGACATTTTTTCCAGGGACTTAAATTTGCAAATTGCACAAAAACAAATGTTTAACTGTTACATGTATTTAGATATTCATGAATACCTATATTTAACTGAGAATGGTTAATTCTTTGATAATTTCACTAATTGTGGTTTAAAAAAGTTTTCTGCATTTATCAGGGAAATATGCTATTTTTCATTCACATGTTTTACATTTCAAAAACCAATGCTAGTATGTTCAGGAATAAGTCCAATTAGGAGCAGCACTGATAAAGGACCTCTGAAGAAAGGTCAGATAGCTTTAACTATTCATAACAAATCTACAGTTTATTGGTACCTTGTACTTACCATCCAGGCTTGTTTTCTTATCCAGCTGAGTAAGTGCGTCGGGTTGAGAAAGGAAGGTTACAGCACGCGGGAACACTTTGTCCAAACCTCGCCACACAATATATTGCTGAAAAACATCAATGTTTTAATCTCAACGATTCTGAATAAAAAAGTAATTTAAGTTTCTGTTATCAAATTTGTGATTTCTTATTGATCTGTGAGTAGAAATATATATTGTATGAATTCAATTTTGCAGGGTCAAACTTTCACAAATTTGTGAAGTTTAAATTCCACAGAGCAAAATAACAGTTTGAACTTTTACACATGGAGAAAGGCAAAATGTCTTAAGGTTTATATTTAGTATGGGTTTTTTCAGACTGAATACAGCAAAATTTAAACGTCAAAAATTGGAATGCCAGCTGGTATTTTCTGATTGTTCTCATCAAAGGCATCAGGTAAGTAAAAATCTGTTAGGAGTTTAGAGCATCTTTATGAAAAATTTCCAAATCGATTTGTTTGTGTTTTACGTCCTATTAACAGCTATGGTAATTTAAGGACGTGCTAGGTTTTGGTGGTGGATGAAAGCCCGGAAGAAAACCCACGACCTACAGCCAGTACCTGGCGACTGCCCCACAAAGGCCTCAAACCCACGGCCCAGTGGTGGAAGGCTAGTGGTAGTAGAATGTCAGATGCCTTAACCACTGCGGCCCCATAATCGGTAGCAAATCGGTAATTATCATTGCTTTTGATATTTCAGTGAAGGAAAGTGTAATGGCTCCAAGACAAACATGCGATGCGTTATTAACTAAGACCAAGTAATATTGATCTTAAAAACTGTGAAAATAAATCGTAGGAGAAACAAACCGAGAGGCTCATGTCTTGCTTTTGTCTCAGCAGCAATTGCTTCATTCTGTCATGGACAACTGTCGCTGGAAAAAAGTTTATATAAAAAGTTAAATTTTATTTTTTACTGACTGGCCATTAATTCTAAACCAAAGGCAATGTTGCACACATAAAACAGATTATTCATGATAAGTGGTTAAGGTTGTACTTGCTTTGTAGATGATACTGTTTAGTATATTTTAGTGGTAATTACTGTTAGTAAGATAAACACATGGAACTTTTTGTGAGTACTACATTTTAGGAACATATATATATATACATGTACATTTCTCATGGATGTAACTGTTACTAATATATTACATTATACATATGTGTACTTTGTAGTGAATATTAATGTTAGTAATACTTAAGGACCAAATGCACATTTTGATGATAAACAACAGTTACATTCAAACCAATGCCACAATGTGTGATAGCGATAGAGCATCTTGGAAAAATATTTAAACCTAACTGTGTAGCACACCTTTTTATGGTGAATACTGGTGTTTAAGTTCTGATATTTATGTCCAAAACAACAGGTTTTTTATTTTACCATTTATTGTGGTTGTTTAAGTTGGTCAAAAATAAATTTTAAACAAACTGTTTTACTTATTGGTGAAACAGCCGTATTTGTGGGAACAAGATTGTGCTTGCTATGACAACCAGAGCTAAATCAGGTGGCAAACATCACTTGTAAACCTACTGGGTAATCAGGAATTCCTGTCATAACTTGATTGTGTTGTAACATCATGATTGATACCCGATTATTTTAACAGTTTGATAGAACTGAATGTGATTTTTTTACCATTTGGAAAAAAACTCACATTATATTTCTTGATTTTATTGGATTGTAACAACATTTTTGGTAGGTAGGTTTATGTAAGGATTGTTTAACAGGAATGTAAATATACTTAAATATCAGCATTATTTACACAATAGCTCACAACACACAATGTTACGCCAAGTCTCTTGTATACCTACCTTTGTCTGTGAAGACACTGCTTACTTTCCCATGCTCTGTTTTCTTGTCATTTTGCTGAAATCAGGTGGTTTGTAATTTATTACATACTTGCTTCTTAAACTGTTAATGTTTGTATACATGTAGAACAGAAATGTTTATACAGAATAACATTTGTCTATTTCAATATCAAACCCTGCATCAGCATGAGAGCCCAATATCAGCCCCAGACCCAAAGATCACCCAAGAAGCCTAAGATCACTATATGGCATCTTTGTTCAATGAGGTGCCCCTAATTTTGAAGTTCCCATATATTAAAAAAAACCTAAGGCAGTTGTTGCACCATGCAAACTGCAAATACAGTGTATGTTCTTACCTAGACTATTCATAGTAAACTTGTGTCTTAACATACAGTTTTGTTTTGGGCACATGTATGGAAAGACAATGAGTCAGCAGTCTGTGTCTTTTGTCCCAAATCTGTATAAACATTGTATTTTATCACAAAAACTATGATCTCTAATACTAGTTTTCCCCTAACTGTTCAAAACTGAATAGCAAAAAATGTGACCCCAGCTGATGAAACATCTGAGCGCCATTAAGAAAAGCAATCTTCTGGTTAAGGCCATTTTTGCATCAAGGTGGAGAAAAGAAGGGCGCTTTCTCACACTGTGTAATTTGTTTACTTACTTTAAAGAAAGAAAGTAACTTAATTAAAAGTAATCTCCAATTTAAATATAAAACATGTCAACAGAAATTTAAAATGAAGCTTTGTAATGGCACTTCATACCAATTTTAGTATCACTGTCTGTTTTTGGTAGACTGCTTGCATCATTTTGATATAACAGAGTCAAGAATTAGTATACAATACAGCTCTAGTCTATTTGGTCACTTATCCAAACCATACGCAACACTAAGCGGTAGTTGCAGAATAAAAACAATGTTTGTATTAGTCAAGTTCTTTTACATCTCTGAGTTCCTTCTTGCACAGCACATCTAACTGGGAACAGAGCGACATCATTTCTATCTCTACATCGGTTGGAGTTACTTCCCCTCCTGCAAGTGGCTCGTGTAATCGGACATCAACTGTCAACAAAAAGTACAGGACTGGACTCAGATTTAAGTACACTGTCGTCTGTATTCTGCCACATATTAATGTAGGTTAGATGGTGGTTGATGTTCGTAGCTGACAAAGATTTGATTTCATGTTATCACGTAGCATTCAATATTTGACAAGTTCTGATATGTATTATGACAGATGAAGGCCATTATAATTTATTTTTTTGTCGTTTCACTTTGTCACTACAACAATAATAACAACAACAAATGTGATGGCAAACTGTATCACAGACTTTGTTCTCTAGTGCAGACTACATGGCCATTGTACGCTACTGTACACTGCTACCAGACTACATGGCCAGTGTACGCTACTGTACACTGCTACCAGACTACATGGCCATTGTACGCTACTGTACACTGCTATCAGACTACAGGGTGTAGCCCTACTATGGAAGCATCCAGTTCCAATGTGACATATGCTATTTTCTATGCTCTATATAAGCTAATCTTCACCTCACTATAGGCAATGGAGCTGATGCAGTTTGTCATTTTCACAAAAAATTAGACAACTAAATAAACATATTTCTGTGCACATTTGTACCTCGTCGTATTATTCATTAGATTATGAGATGTTGAAAGAATGACACCCAATTAATGTGTTCGAAATGTTTTAAAATATTTTTTGTGCCCACAACCTCCATGTTGCTGATATTAAATTCCAAGATTTTTCAACGTTTTCGTCTTTACCATAAAAGTACCGAAACATCCAATTATCAAGTACCAAAACAACCTAGTACATATCGAAACGTCTAGGATTCGGATATGTGGGGATTGTGCCCAACCTGTTATAGTTCCTATTTCAGTAACTATTAAACATACAACCCACATAAGAGGTCAGTTGACCAGTTTCGCATTACCCCAATCAGAAGTGTCCATTTTATGCAACTTTTTAAAAAAGGACCTGACAAATGCATGTACCATGGCCGTTTTCGTTTAAATGGTTGAACCACAGGGGCTTGTAGACTTATATGATAAAATTAGCTAGAAATATCTATATATAAACACAAGCTCATGTGGTTGAACCGGTCGGACTACAGTTGTTCGTTTATTAAATAAGCCTATACGGTCGGCCCTAGTCAGGTCCAGTACACTCTGCCGATTGAGCTATCTTGCTATAGAGACCTGTATAGCTATATACACCTATACATTATAGCTGTATTGAGCTATATTTTCTCAGATTTCAATTTTCATTAAATTAAAGCAAAGTCGCATAAAACAATAAGGTTTATGGTAATGTTGACTACAAAAAGCATACAGTTAGATGTTTATTTTCATTTTTCATAAATGTAAAATTTCCGATTTTTTTACATCATTATTTTTTAAAAAGAATCCTTATGTTTAATGTCTTTTGTTATCAACCTAATGATACAATCTTCTTTTAAAAGCGACTTTGTTTTGTTTTCCTTAAAAACGAAAANTCAGGTCCAGTACACTCTGCTGATTGAGCTATATAGCTATAAAGACCTATATAGCTATATACACCTATACATTATAGCTGTATTGAGCTATATTTTCTCAGATTTCAATTTTCATTAAATTAAAGCAAAGTCGCATAAAACAATAAGGTTTATGGTAATGTTGACTACAAAAAGCATACAGTTAGATGTTTATTTTCATTTTTCATAAATGTAAAATTTCCGATTTTTTTACATCATTATTTTTTAAAAAGAATCCTTATGTTTAATGTCTTTTGTTATCAACCTAATGATACAATCTTCTTTTAAAAGCGACTTTGTTTTGTTTTCCTTAAAAACGAAAATTACTCAAAAAATAGCTCAAAAGACCTATTTCAGATAGGTCAATAGAGCTATTATAGGTCTTTACAGCTATATAGCTCAATCGGCAGAGTGTACTGGACCTGCTAGTGATCTGATGCTGCTTTCAGGCGAGCCTTGCAAGGCATGTATACACATTGGCACAACCGCCAGGATTTATACCCGATTTTTTACATTTAAAACGGACAAACCGGTTGTTCCGCATAAGCGAACATGCTCCAGGTTTCAGAAGACTTGGCAAGACAATAAATCAATATATTTATTTACAGTTCTGCATAATTCCCAACAATGAAATACGGTAAATAACTCAATCTAATTCGTATTTCGGATGGCAGCAGCATTGTTGTTTGCTAACAAAGCCGTTACCTTTGAAGGATGGAACATAATGCATGGGAATGACCAGAGGAGGAGCACAGGCAGCCGCCATGTTGTCACTTTTAACTTAATAATCTGCGGCGCTCAAATTCTTCTACTCAAAGTGTTGATAGTCGAAGCGTTATTATGACAAAGATTGGTTAATCGAAATTGCAAATCTTTGAAACAAACGGACTATATATTTCAATCATTTTTAGCTCACCTGGTCCGAAGGACCATGGTTATGCCATAACCGCAGCGTCCGTCGTCCGTCCGTCGTCCGTCTGTCCGTCAACTTTTCCTTTAAAGCGCTACTAGTCATGAACGACTGAGCAGATTTTGACCAAATTTGGTCAGAAGCATCCTTGGGGGAAGGGGAACATTTTTTTTGTATAAATGGTGGGTATGGCCCCCCTGGGGGCTGAGGGGCGGGGCAAATAGGGGCAACATAGCAAATTCTTTAAAATCCTTCTTCTTCTGTAGGAATGAAAAGATTTATTTCATATTTGGTCTGAAGCATCTTTGGGTGAATTGGGTGAAGGGGAACCAACTTTGTTTAAACCGCGAGTGTGACCCCCAGGGGCCTGAGGGGCGGGGCCTAATAGGGGAAACATAGCAAATTATTCTTTAAAATCCTTCTTCTTCTGTAGGAATGAAAGGATTTGGTCCATATTTGGTGTGGAGCATCCTTGGGTAAAGGGGAACCAATTTTGTATAAACATTTGGCCTGGCCCCCTGGGGGCTGAGGGGCAGGGCCCAATAGGGGAAATATATCAAATTCTTCAAAATCCTTCTCCTTCTGTAGGAATGACGGGATTTTGTCCATATTTGGTCTGAAGCATCCTGAGGTAAACGGGAACCAATTTTGTATAAACTGTGGGTCTGGCCCCCCAGGGGCCTGAGAGGCGGGGCCAAATAGGGGAAACATAGCAGATTATTCTTTAAAATCCTTCTTCTGTAGGAATTGGTCCATATTTGGTGTGGAGCATCCTTGGGTAAAGGGGAACCAATTTTGTATAAACAGTGGGCCTGCCCCCCCCCTGGGGGCTGAGGGGCGTGGCCCAATAGGGGAAATATAGGTAAAACCTTTATGATCCCACTTCTACCATAGGGATTAAGGGATATTTTCCTAATTTAGTCTGGAACATCCTTAGGCAAAAGAGACCCAATTTTGTATAAACAGCGAGTGTGCCCCCCTGTGGGCAGAAGGGAGGGGCCCAATAGGGGAAACATAGCAAAATCTTCAAAATCCTTCTTCTTCTGTAGAAATGACAGGATTTTGTCCAAATTTGGTATGAAGCAGCCTTGAGTGAAGGGGAAACAATTTTGTATAAGCAGTGGGTGTGGTCTCCCAGGGGGCAGAATGGCGGGGCTCAATTGGAGAAATAGAGGGAAAACCTTTAAAACCCTACTTCGACCATCGGGATTATGGGTTTTTATCCTTATTTAGTCTGGAGCATCAATGGACCAAGGGGACTCAATTTTGTATAATTGGTGGGTAACGATTCTATATTGCATTGAGGACAACTTTCTAGTGTTTTGGCTGCAGCGGAGCAGGGATTCTTAAATGTTTCCCAAGTTATATGCAAATTTTCTTAGAAGGTAATAGCCAAGGCTTATGCAGATTTCAGGCTGTTATATTTATTGAACCGATCACACGTTATTTGACGGTTAATATGTTTTGAAAATGAGGTTCATTAACGTTGATCAGACTTCTGTTTTAAACAGTTATAAAGCTTTTGTCCGTTTGTTTTCAATCTTGGTTGTGATTTTGTCCTTGTGTTTCCAGTCTGGGTTGTGATTTTGTCCGTGTGTTTCCAGTTTTGGTTGTAATTTTGTCCGTGTGCTTTCAGTGTTGGTTGTGATTTTGTCCTTGTGTTTTCAGTCTTGGTTGTGATTTTGTCCTTGTGTTTTTAGTCTTGGTTGTGATTTTGTCCTTGTGTTTTCAGTCTTGGTTGTGATTTTGTCCTTGTGTTTTCAGTCTTGGTTGTGATTTTGTCCTGGTGTTTTCAGTGTTTGTTGTGATTTTTTCCTTGTGTTTTCAGTGTTGGTTGTGATTTTGTCCTTGTGTTTTCAGTCTTGGTTGTGATTTTGTCCTTGTGTTTTCAGTGTTGGTTGTGATTTTGTCCTTGAGTTACAGTGTTGGTTGTGATTTTGTCCTTGTTTTTTAGTCTTGGTTGTGAATTTGTCCTTGAGTTTTGTTGTGATTTTGTCCGTGTGTTTCCAGTTTTGGTTGTAATTTTGTCCGTGTGCTTTCAGTGTTGGTTGTGATTTTGTCCTTGTGTTTTAGTGTTGGTTGTGATTTTGTCCTTGTGTTTTAGAGTTGGTTGTTATTTTGTCCTGTATTTTCAGTGTTGGTTGTTATTTTGTCCTTGTTTTTTAGTCTTGGTTGTGATTTTGTCCTTGTGTTTTCAGTGTTGGTTGGGATTTTGTCCTTGTGTTTTCAGTCTTGGTTGTGATTTTGTCCTGGTGTTTTCAGTGTTTGTTGTGATTTTTGCCTTGTGTTTTCAGTGTTGGTTGTGATTTTGTCCTTGTGTTACAGTGTTGGCTGTGATTTTGTCCTTGTTTTTTAGTCTTGGTTGTGATTTTGTCCTTGTGTTTCAGTGTTGGGTGTTATTTTGTCCTTGTGTTTTAGTGTTGGTTGTGATTTTGTCCTTGTGTTACAGTGTTGGCTGTGATTTTGTCCTTGTTTTTTAGTCTTGGTTGTTATTTTGTCCTTGTGTTTCAGTGTTGGTTGTGATTTTGTGCTTTCAGTGTTGGTTGTGATTTTGTCCTTGTGTTTCAGTGTTGGTTGTTATTTTGTCCTTGTGTTTTAGTGTTGGTTGTGATTTTGTACTGTATTTTCAGTGTTGGTTGTGATTTTGTCCTTGTTTTTCAGTGTTGGTTGTGATTTTGTCCTTGTGTTTTAGTGTTGGTTGTGATTTTGTACTGTATTTTCAGTGTTGGTTGTGATTTTGTCCTTGTTGTTTAGTCTTGGTTGTGATTTTGTCCTTGTGTTTTCAGTCTTGGTTGTGATTTTGTCCTTGTGTTTTCAGTCTTGGTTGTGATTTTGTCCTGGGGTTTTCAGTGTTTGTTGTGATTTTTTCCTTGTGTTTTCAGTGTTGGTTGGGATTTTGTCCTTGAGTTACAGTGTTGGTTGTGATTTTGGCCTTGTTTTTTAGTCTTGGTTGTGAATTTGTCCTTGAGTTTTGTTGTGATTTTGTCCGTGTGTTTCCAGTTTTGGTTGTAATTTTGTCCGTGTGCTTTCAGTGTTGGTTGTGATTTTGTCCTTGTGTTTCAGTGTTGGTTGGGATTTTGTCCTTGTGTTTTCAGTCTTGGTTGTGATTTTGTCCTGGTGTTTTCAGTGTTTGTTGTGATTTTTGCCTTGTGTTTTCAGTGTTGGTTGTGATTTTGTCCTTGTTTTTTAGTCTTGGTTGTTATTTTGTCCTTGTGTTTCAGTGTTGGTTGTGATTCTGTCCTTGTGTTTTAGTGTTGGTTGTTATTTTGTTTGTCCTTGTGTTTTCAGTCTTGGTTGTGATTTTGTCCTGGTGTTTTCAGTGTTTGTTGTGATTTTTGCCTTGTGTTTTCAGTGTTGGTTGTGATTTTGTCCTTGTGGTACAGTGTTGGTTGTGATTTTGTCCTTGTTTTTTAGTCTTGGTTGTGAATTTGTCCTTGAGTTTTCAGTGTTGGTTGTGATTTTGTCCTTGTGTTTTAGTGTTGGTTGTTATTTTGTCCTGTATTTTCAGTGTTGGTTGTGATTTTGTCCTTGTGTTTTCAGTGTTGGTTGTTATTTTGTCCTGGTGCATTGACTTAAAGTATGGATTTAATCCTTGAGCATTGACTCTGAATTTTTTATTTTTCTGAGTGTTTCTTGAATACTATTACATTTTTTTAGTTTTACATTATTTTTGGGCTCATCCTCGATATCCAGCGGTCACGCTCACTTACGTTCTCTGCACCCATGGAATATGTCAGGACAAAATCGGAGGCTCAGTGTGCGCCACCTTGTGCTTTGGTGAACATCAAAATAATCTGGCGGTCGCGTAACGGTAAAATTGAATGGCTTTGTTTTTGTCTTCTGCGGGGAACATGGACAAAAATGTATACCAAATGTATGGGGGTTTTCGCGTGTTTCAAAAGAATACGTAAATCGCCATTAACGTAAAAGATAAAAAATAAATTTATTATGACTGTTTTTTTCCCCCATTTTAATCCCCAGATTGGCCTTCTAATTTAATATCAGGCGAGCGAATGAAAAACTTGGTGAATCATTAAAAAAGAAGATTTTGAGTTCATGACATTTTATTCCAAATCAATTTATCAATATGTCGTGACATTTTTTCAAACATTTGACCATTGGCCAAAGCTGATAATTTGCTAAAAAAATGTTTTTCATCGAGAAAAAATATAACAATTAATATTGGCGAAGGAGAGCAATATGTGTGATGTGTCATTATTGTCCTACTTGAAAAATAACAACGGTGAACATATATTTGGGAGAATTAACATGAAATTCAAGCATAGCAATAGCAAATTCAATTATTCCATTCCCACGCTAATCATTTTTTGTTTATTTAAAATAAAAATTACAAAATTGCCCCGCTTTCAACAACCATTTTTTCATAGACTCCAATCTAACTAGGATAAAGAGCACCATCAATCAACTGATTAAAAAATAGATATCAACAAAATGAGTGGGGAGGAAATCCACACGAATGACACGTTATCAGAAATAACAAATGGAAAATCAAATATATACTTGACGAATGACGAAGACACAATACATAAAACAATGTTAACACTGTATTTGATTAAATAATGAAAAATTATACAGTGGAGTACATGTGTAATCACTTTACACAAATTATGTTGTGAAAAAACCTCATATTGCAGCCAAATGAAAGGTAACAAAGGTTGGTACCTCATTAGTAGAGCTATAATAGGCAAGATCTGAATTACTAGTCACTGGGTCCAAAGTGCTGTAATACTAATTCTTTAAAGCTCGTTTTCTTACAATTCGTCCTTTTCTTGTGACGAAACAACATCGACGAATCTTCCAACAAACAAAATTGTGTCGGACCTATTGTCTCTGATAACAAACATGAACGGGTGATCGGCCCTGAATTGTAATGGCGGTCTTGGCAGTGATCGTTTCATCATGACAACGGCAGTGGCAGCAGCTGCCTCCGTTCCTTCCTCGTTCACATCTACAAAGGCCTGATGAAAGATGGCCGATACATATGTCATCCTGGATTCGTCTATACCAGACAAGTCAGCGTTATTATTGAACAGATCGGTCATTCCCATTTGTTGAAATAGTGCGGAAAGCTCAAAACCAGATTTAAGTTTAAATTTGGGAAGAAACACTTCCACTTTTGTAGGTGATGTGTCTTTCATAAGTCCTTGAAGTTTGGACGGAGTTAACTTCTCTTCAAGGGCAGACAATCCATTTTTACCATTTGGTAAAATGATGACCATTGATAAGCTGTTCCCTTTGTAGGGCAATTCCAAAACTTCACACTTTAATTCATCATCGTGTTTAAGCGGGAACCTGGTAGCTTTTTGAAACATCATTTTCACAGTCTTTTGTTGTCCTTTGAGGGTATGAAAGGTCATATCTCTGGTAACTTTGTCGTCAAATTTGGTCTCCCAGTCCCCTTTAAAGTAGATAGCATTTACCAATACCATCATGGTCAATGGATTCAAAGAACCCTGAGGCAGGAGGTCTTTTATTTTCTCTGCTGTCTGCTGGCTAACCCATTCGTTGATTTCTTTCCTTGCAGTTTCATATTGCGCGTAGTCCATGAGTTTTGTGTCGGCTTGATAGTGTTTTGCACAAAGTTCAATGAAAGAAGGAACAATTCCTGCCTTGCTGTGGGGATACAATCTGTTTGCAATCTGAAGTGTGACGTTTTCGTTTTTGGCCATAACCACCTGCAAGTAGTCTTCATAGGCTTCGTGCACTCGCTGACCTAAAGATTGGATACTAAGAGGTGAAACCATTTGGGCTGCTGTCTGCTCTCTGGCACCTAGATACACCATGGACATGGCCGCAGAGATGGAGAAAGGTGAGTAAAACAGATTTCCATCAGTGGACATTTTAGTTAAACGCTTGTAAATCTCCAAGGTGAAATCCGTGTTTGAGGTCTGAAAATCTGTGTGTAGTATATCATCTCTAAAGATTTTGCTGTTGCTTCCTGATAGAAGAGAAGCCATGATGAGGACAAGCCACAAGAAGTGTTCTTTCATATACCTGGCAAGATAGAAAATAACCATATTTAGGTACAATTTAAGAGCAAATAGAAACTTTCACTTTCCGTTCGAGTTAATCATGTCAGATCACCGCTGTCTTGGACAATTTCCTTTTTATTCAAGTAATTAATTAGCACGAGTTTCCTCTGGTCCTGACACCAGACTTAGACATTTTGACAGATAGATGCCCCACACCAGACATCTATCCGTCAAAATGTCTAAAGTCTTGTGTCGGGGCCAGAGGAAACTCGGGCTAGTAACTAATGTATTGTTGAAAATGCATAAATAACAACGAAGGAGAAAACTGCCATTTTTTATGTTAAAATCCCCAATCTTTTACATATACATATTTTTTAATATTTATTATATATTTAGAATGGGATTCGTCAGTTTGGTGTGTACACAAACAGTAATCAAAAAATATTTTGCGAGCTTTCGAAAACGTCGATTTCCTTTGTCAAGCAAGGAGTTCTATGCTGAATATTGTAGCAATCCGATAAATTAGCATCAGACCAGAATTTTCTCATCAATAATTTATGTTGACATCGCCTTATCAAATAAATAAACTTGGTTATGTATCATATCTTCCCCCGGATGAACTATTACTGAAAGTTATTGATTGCAGTATTAATAAATCAAAGAACTTGTGCAAGTCTACGACCAGGTGTATACACGAACACAAACACTCTGATCTCACACTTTCCCCAAACACTCGTGTAAACACAATACAGGACCCCAGACCGATAGCCTAATCTATAAATAGCTGCTATGTCGCTCAGGAAGTGTCGCTCTTGAGTCATATCAACTTAAACTTTTAAACCTTTCAGCAGACGTAGATCAGGCTTTTTAGAGCATTAAGACTTGTCGACTGATTACAAGTTAACAAGCTCTAAGGCCGAAATAGGGTTCTCCAATTTATTGTCACTTAATATAAGAAAATATATTACAAGTCGCTAAGTGACAATCTTATTTCAAAAACGATTTTTTTGCTTCATTAAAAACTATCAAACCATTAACTTTATATATTACGTCTCTGGCGGAGACTGTGAAATCAAAATGTGTTTTGAGAAACCATGCGACGGTCACGTAGGTTATTAGCACAAGAGCATCTACGGTTGGATTACAAACTACTTACTGGTACCGGGTAGACTGATATGGCTGTCCATTGGACTGACAGGGTTAACGTTATATATTTATATATGTGGCAATACTATACCTCAACACTGTTACTGTTAGAGGTTTACACGGCGAGATACCTATAGCAGTTAAACAATAGCCGACCAGCAGCCTCTTATTTTATAGGAGCAGGCAATGCAAGTGCTATATAGATCTGTATACTTATTAGTTACTTACCTAACGTGTACTTCCGTGATAGGCGTGGTGTTGTTATGTTTACATACGTATTATACCTGGTCCGCTTTCGTTTGTCCGGTTAAAGCGATCTATGTGACTTTGATGTAATCTGTCATAATGCGGTTCCTAAATGGATCGCCCTCGCAGGCAGCTCTTTAAATGCATAATTGCGGAGGTTTTTGTTAAATTCAAAGGATATAACCAAAATATTGATCGATGTATTTTTCCCGTATAGTTAATCTTACATCATTACTTAAAATACATCGGAATGGACATTGTTTTATAAAGAAATATTGAAAACTAAACACCTAGCGGTTGCTGACCGTTTAGTTGACAGTTGAACAAGACTTGAGCCCCTCAGCGTATCTGTGCTGAAGGTTCCAGAGGTTTACCCGTGAATGCCGTTTTTTATAAATTTTGTACTAGTTGAAACGGTTGCATCGACTAAACGAAAGCGACCTTGTAAATAACCATATAAATTATCGGAATAGAGAATATGAAATGAACGAAACGAACTATATGATGTGAGAGAACTGTCCATTCTGTGAGAGAATGGACTGATCAAGGCCCGTAGCACAGAATTGACAGTTTGAGGCTTTAATTTCTTCTGCTTAAACACAGTACCCTATTGTAATAATAATGGACACCTTTTTGTGTAAGAGTGGACAGCTATTTAAGGAATGATTTTTATTTTTTCAACATTTATGAGGTCATAACAACAATGGGTTTATGGACATATTGAATGAATCGCGTTAGCGATTCATGTAAAATATGTCCAAAAACCCATTTTTGTTATGACTCATAAATGTTGAAAAAATAAATATCATTCCTTATATTTACATTGGCGAATCCTTTCAGTGGATTGATATAACAACGAATAAAACAAATAAACAGGGTTTGTTCCTGCTTATACACGGGTGCAACGCAGTGGCGAGAACAGGGTTTTTTCGCGGGGAAATGTGACACTATCGTGGGAGATCTTAGCAACCGTCAACAACAATAACACAACAACATGTAGTTCCATATTCAATGGTTATTTGTAGCACAGGACACGTGATTACGTGGATATTTCACAAAGCACAGTTCAATAATATTTTAAGATGTAAGAATTAAGCATCTAGTTCGGTCGTTCCGAGTGAGTAGTTTTTGTAGTGTATTACCACGCAGTGTGATCAGGTTACTATCAGTTCCCACGTGCTGAGATTCTATGAACACCTGTGTTATGCATTTATGAATGTAATTTTTGTCAATGGGTCTAAGCATACAGAATGTAAATATTAAACAATGTACTGTATGTAATGAAGTTAACAATGACGAGGTACTTGTGTGTATGCAGCATGAGATATGGCCATGCATTCATGAATGGTATAGGTGGCGTGAGCATGTCCAAAAAGTGATATAGTGAATCCTAGGTATTAATCAGTAGGTCCAGCTTTGTCATTTCAAGTGAAAGTATGAAATTCTCGGGGGATGATGGTACCGCTTTCAGCATTATTTTTGATGGTTTTTAATTCACTGAAATTGTTGAATAATACAACACAACACACAGAGAACAGCAGTGAAAGTTTAATAATATGGCACTTAGACTGTGTAACAATGTGACACTTAGACTGTGTAACAATGTGACACTTAGACTGTGTAACAATATGACAATTCATAGAATACTATACTGAAGCAAAGTGTAAAGCAATCAAAACGTCAATTAACACCTCAACCAAAACCGGTGGACATTCCAGGAGATAACCGGTATATCCGTGAAACATCAGGAAAGGTCTACTGGATTAATGAATTCTACCTCAAAGTATGGATCATTGGGTGTGAGGATTTGTTAATTATATCTGAATCAGCTGCCGATTTTTTTTCTATTCCATCAAATGTTCGTATTAGAAAATAATTGTCGGATGGTCGTATTCCCTCATCACGCAAGTTTTACAGCATTCTGTTGGATTAATTTGTTCTCTAATACTGTTTCCTCAATAAAATTCAACAGTGATATGGTCAGCTTGATAATTTATTGCTCAAATAGAACTTTTCGTGATGTTTCAATGGATTTTATTTCACAGTTAAATTATTTATCATATTTAAATGTATATGTATCAAGTAAAGCCATTCATTGTAAGTACATTGTCTAGTTGTTTCTAAAATTTGCTGGTGCTGAAAAAAAATTGTTACCTATAATCAACTGTTCATTATTAGTCCGGTAGCTGTCCATTTTTAAACATAGTAATGGACAGCTACGGTTTAATAATTGACATCTACGGCTTAATAATGGACAGCTACGGCTTAATAATGGACAGCTAAGGCTTAATAGTGGACAGCTACGGCTTAATAATGGACATCTACGGCTTAATAATGGACAGCTACGGCTTAATAATGGACATCTACGGCTTAATAATGGACATATACGGCTAATAATGGACAGCTACGGCTTAATAATGGACATCTACGGCTTAATAATGGACAGCTACGGCTTTATAATGGACAGCTACGGCTTTATAATGGACATCTACGGCTTAATAATGGACCGCTACCGCTTAATAATGGACAGCTACGGCTTAAAAATGGACAGCTACGGCTTAATAATGGACAGCTAAGGCTCAATAATGGACAGCTACGGCTTAATAATGGACAGCTAGGCTTAATAATGGAGAGCTACGGCTTAATAATGGACAGCTAGGCTTAATAATGGAGAGCTACGGCTTAATAATGGACAGCTAGGCTTAATAATGGACAGCTACGGCTTAAAAATGGACAGCTACGGCTTAATAATGGACAGATACGGCTTAATAATGGACATCTACGGCTTAATAAGGGACATATACGGCTAATAATGGACAGCTACGGCTTTATAATGGACAGCTACGGCTTTATAATGGACAGCTACGGCTTTATAATGGACAGCTACGGCTTTATAATGGACAGCTACGGCTTTATAATGGACATCTACGGCTTAATAATGGACCGCTACCGCTTAATAATGGACAGCTACGGCTTAAGAATGGACAGCTTCGGCTTAATAATGGACAGCTACGGCTTTATAATGGACATCTACGGCTTAATAATGGACCGCTACCGCTTAATAATGGACAGCTACGGCTTAAAAATGGACAGCTACGGCTTAATAATGGACAGCTAAGGCTTAATAGTGGACATCTACGGCTTAATAATGGACAACTACGACTTAATAATGGACATCTACGGCTTAATAATGGACATATACGGCTAATAATGGACAGCTACGGCTTTATAATGGACAGCTACGGCTTTATAATGGACAGCTACGGCTTTATAATGGACAGCTACGGCTTTATAATGGACAGCTACGGCTTTATAATGGACAGCTACGGCTTTATAATGGACATCTACGGCTTAATAATGGACCGCTACCGCTTAATAATGGACAGCTACGGCTTAAAAATGGACAGCTACGGCTTAATAATGGACAGCGACGGCTTAATAATGGACATCTACGGCTTAGAAATGGAAAGCTACGGCTTAATAATGGACATCTACGTCTTAATAATGGACAACTAAGGCTTAATAATGGACATCTACGGCTTAATAATGGACAGCTAAGGCTTAATAGTGGACATCTACGGCTTAATAATGGACAACTAAGGCTTAATAATGGACATCTACGGCTTAATAATGGACCGCTACCGCTTAATAATGGACAGCTACGGCTTAAAAATGGACAGCTACGGCTTAATAATGGATAGCTACGGCTTAGTAATGGACAGCTACGGCTTAATAATGGCCATCTACGGCTTAATAATGGACAACTAAGGCTTAATAATGGACATCTTCGGCTTAATAATGGACAGCTACGGCTTAATTATGGACATCTACGGCTTAATAATGGACAGCTAAGGCTTAATAGTGGACATCTACGGCTTAATAATGGACATATACGGCTAATAATGGACAGCCACGGCTTAATAATGGACATCTACGGCTTAATAATGGACAGCTACGGCTTATAACGGACAGCTACGGCTTAATAGACGGAAAACAAAGACCAAATAAAAATTGTGTTTCTGTGGCATTTCTGTGGTGGGGGGGGGGGGGTTCTCAATAGATCTGACAAAAAGACTATTTCAGGTTGGAACGAACTTTACTGGCACTTAACGTGCAAATAGCAGAGATCAACCAAAACAAAATTAAAACACCAAGTGTCAACGCCGGTGTAACGTTGAAAATGGACCTCCGTCAATTTCCCACGTGTAGGCCGTTGAAAACTGACCCGTTGAAAACGGACCCTTACTTTGTCCGAAGTACCAAAAATAGTTCATTCAAAAGATATGTTTCAAACTGCACAAACGAATCATTTGTTTTCACTATTATTTTCACTTTGTGAGGAGATATTTTAAGAAACCCTCAACTGTGTCCATTCCAAATCCTTTTCCAGACCAATGAAATACCATTTTTGTAATGGTAAACAAGAGGCCCAGGGGCCTCAATAGCCCACCAGAATTTTCAACATAAAATATGTTGAGTACCCTGCCAAGTTATCAAAAGAATACAAGAAATACTAGAACTGCCGCCAGAATAATAGACTATAACCCCCTCCCCTACCACCACCACCACAACCATCACCACCACCACCGCTTCCTGTGCAAATAACTACAATGTATTAGAATATATATCTTTCCAAAGTGGACATAATCCCCATAAGAGGGGAGGTGCAGTCTCTTGATGTAATATATGGTTTTGTGCGCAAGGTGTCATCGGAATCGGCGGTGTACTTTGGCAGGTTATAATCCTAAATCCCTATGGGGCCAAGACTGCAGGAACCCATGGCTATAGTACATGGCTGAATATCATTCACACAGGATAAAGATAGTAGCATACATCTTATCTCAATATCCAGTATATTGTGTTCCATGGTATTTCCTTCATTTACCGAATTATTATAAGTTGACATAGATACATTAAGTATTTATCTCAAGATATATAACTTGACATAACAGGAAACTTGTTGCTATCTCGAAATAATTTTTGCTGGGATGTATATTAATAAGTCTATATCTAATGGCAACTATACGCTTCCGTAGTTTTTCCATGAAGGGTGGTTCTGGCTAGAATGACAAAAGAAGCCCAACGTTCTCAGAAACAGACTGTCTTTACTTATATATATATTATATTGATTTAAACCTGAACATGGAAGCCGTTTTTAACAAGACAGAATGGTATGTGAAAAGAACTAGTATGTTTTGTGCTGATACACAGTTATTAGCGGTATCAAACATCTTGGCGTTGATGTCGTGATGAAGCTGCATATATTTCTGTCATGCAAAAGTACACGTTTTTGACAGTGGTAGCCTACACTTGCCTTTCACCAATTAAATGCGGCCGGGGTTTTGATTCCCCGATCGGACAGGAAAATATTGCCAGCTTGATGTGTTGTTTTGCATTTCGGTGTAGGTTGTCTTTTAAAAAAATGTAATAAACAGAATATCTAACAGTATCTTTAGTAATACCAAATATATTTCACTCGTGTGGCTAATATTATGATAGCTTGATAGCAAAATATTAGCCACACTCTTGAAATCTATTTGGAATTACTGAAGAAACTGTTAGATTATATGTTAAATTATATTTAATAAAAATTATGTATTGAAAATAAAAAATTGTGACATATGAACATTATTATATTGAACCGGAAAATCATGTTTTTCGAAAAATAAACTGGTCCCGTGGGACCGATATGGCGGTCTCGCTTGATACAGGATAGGATATGAAAACCTCTAAAAACCAGCCCACATCTAGCTATATCAACCTGCTTCTGAATATGAAAGCAAAGTTTTCACTCCGGGTCAGCCAATCTTATTTTCATGAAACTGTTCTCGTGCTCAAGCATGGATTCTGTGCTCAAACTAACTTTCTTGTTACACTCTCAAATCAAGTTATTTGGTAAAAAAGTGATGATTAAACACTGAAAATGGTGCAAGTTTTGAAGTCTCTCAATCATTCTTCTAAATCATTACCAACTTTGAATTTCTATTATTTTTCCACCCGAACACGAAATTGGGCTGAGCACAGAATCTGAGTTCGAGCAGGAGGACGGTTTCTTGAATACGCGCTCGAAAGAGTCTTTTTTTGGTAAAATAAAACAAAAGAAAACGTCCTCTTTTGTCCGTCGTTATATGTTATTCTAAGATGAAGTTAGTTGTTAAGGTGTCACCTGTATATAGGATGTTTTATGATAAACCTATCAGACCTTGCAATAGCAATATATTGTTCTGTTGAAATTTTCGATAATAAATGTAAGCTCGTTAGTGCTATCAAGAAAAAAGGTTGTACTAAGTAGGATTCAAATTAAAATGGAAGAATCGAAGGTGATTGTTAAAATTATTTAGCACATATTAAACTTTGATGCCCTTGTGAAAATCGGAAGGTGAACTTTATCTTAAAACAATATTTGAGAAAGTGTATTCCTTTGCTCATCTGAAGGCGCCAGTAAGTTAAAAATGTTTTATGAGTAATCAATCAGAGCTTTCGGTGGCCATCGTGCATTTTTAATCGCTTAAAGATTAACATAAAATCGTAAGGGCTGCCAAAGGAACGTTTGTACCAAGTTTGAGTCAGAATTGGATAAGATTAAAGACAAATATAACATATTCAACTTCAACCTCTTACAAAACCGGAAGTTGACATTTCTCTGAGTGAATGAAAAAATAAATCTTTTCTTTTTTTCCATCTCTTTATATATATGTAAACTTTGTGTCTTAAGGCGTCAACTATAAATCGTTGTTTCATGTTTAGCCAATCAGAGTTCGCCGTGGCCTTTTTTAATTTTCAACTGTTTCAATAACTAACATATATTCGAAAGGAAAATCAGTGTCCTTTTCTTGTGATGGAACATAAACAGATCTTCAAACAAACAAAGCTGTATCCGACCTTTCGTCTCTTATAACAAACATAAATGGGTGATCGGCCCTGAACTGTTATGGCAGTACCGGAAGGCATCGGAACTTCACGACAACGGCACTGCCAACAGCTGCCCCTGTTCCTTCCTCGTTGACATAAATCTGGTAAAGAATGCTAGGTTAGAATATGTTTTTTCCCGTTACCCTTCACAGGTGTGTCTCCCGTTACCCTTCACATGTGTGTCTCCCGTGACCCTTCACAGGTGTGTCTCCCGTTACCCTTCACAGGTGTGTCTCCCGTTACCCTTCACAGGTGTGTCTCCCGTTACCCTTCACAGGTGTGTCTCCCGTTACCCTTCACAGATGTGTCTCCCGTTACCCTTCACAGGTGTGTCTCCCGTTACCCTTCACAGGTGTGTCTCCCGTTACCCTTCACAGATGTGTCTCCCGTTACCCTTCACAGGCGTGTCTCCCGTTATCCTTCACAGGCGTGTCTCCCGTTACCCTTCACAGGTGTGTCTCCCGTTATCCTTCACAGGCGTGTCTCCCGTTACCCTTCACAGGCGTGTCTCCCGTTACCCTTCACAGGTGTGTCTTCCGTTATCCTTCACAGGTGTGTCTCCCGTTACCCTTCACAGATGTGTCTCCCGTTACCATGTGTGTCTCCCATTACCCTTCACAGGTGTGTCTCCCGTTCCCCTTCACAGATGTGTCTCCCGTTACCCTTCACAGGCGCGTCTCCCGTTACCCTTCACCGGCGTGTCTCCTGTTATCCTTCACAGGCGCGTCTCCCGTTACCCTTCACAGATGTGTCTCCTGTTGCCCTTCACAGGCGTGTCTCCCGTTACCCTTCACAGGCGTGTCTCCCGTTATCCTTCACAGGCGCGTCTCCCGTTACCCTTCACAGGTGTGTCTCCCGTTCCCCTTCACAAGCGTGTCTCCCGTTACCCTTCACAGATGTGTCTCCCGTTAACATGTGTGTCTCCCATTACCCTTCACAGGTGTGTCTCCCGTTACCCTTCACATGTGTGTCTCCCGTGACCCTTCACAGATGTGTCTCCCGTTACCCTTCACAGGGGTGTCTCCCGTTACCCTTCACAGATGTGTCTCCCGTTCCCATGTGTGTCTCCCATTACCCTTCACAGGTGTGTCTCCCGTTCCCCTTCACAGATGTGTCTCCCGTTACCCTTCACAGGCGTGTCTCCCGTTACCCTTCACAGGCGCGTCTCCCGTTACCCTTCACAGGCGTGTCTCCTGTTATCCTTCACAGGCGCGTCTCCCGTTACCCTTCACAGATGTGTCTCCTGTTACCCTTCACAGGCGTGTCTCCCGTTACCCTTCACAGATGTGTCTCCCGTTACCCTTCACAGGTGTGTCTCCCGTTACCCTTCACAGGCGTGTCTCCCGTTACCCTTCACAGGCGTGTCTCCCGTTACCCTTCACAGGCGTGTCTCCCGTTAACCTTCACAGATGTGTCTCCCGTTACCCGTCACAGGCGTGTCTCCTGTTATCCTTCACAGGCGTGTCTCCCGTTACCCTTCACAGGTGTGTCTCCCGTTACCCTTCACAGGCGTGTCTCCCGTTATTGTAGGGAAAGATCAGCTTGTCACCCCAAGGGGGAGATAGCCTTGTGCTGACTAGCAAGTGTTCAACTGTGACGTCATTAAAATATGTCACAGGTACTTATGACGTCATCAAAAACAAATGACGATATTCATACTCCACATGTTTTTTTTGTTGAAAAACATGGCAGTCTAATATCGGTGGAGTTGTGACTGAAACAGTAGGATGGGAGAGAACTAATAATTCCCTACCTTGAGGGTGTAACAGAGAAATTTCCAACCCTCAGGCTGATTTTTTGGTTGTCTAACCCTCGTCAGAGCTGCGGGTTAGACAACCAAAACCATTACCCCTCGGGTTGGAGATTTCTCTATCACACCCTCAAGGTAGGGGACGATTCTATGAATTAACATAAAAATGAATTTTAGGAATAGTAACTTATTTTCCCCCTTTAGTTAAGGAGCTACTGACGTGTCTTGTGCCGATTGTAAACATGACGTAATGTACTTTATTCTATTTATAGTTTATTTACATCTGTTTACATATGTACCATCACATTACCTTCACTCCTGTATTACAACTCACATGTTGTCTCTCTAACGTATATACTAGAACTGACTGTTATAACACTACCATACCAAGTTTTATCATATGGCACACCCGGACCACGCATACGAGTGTATTCCCATGACACTAGTTATTTTCGATCATTATCTCTAAATCTCTTACCTTAATAGTCTACATAATTTGCTACCAACCCGGCCATTTTCTGAGTCACACAGCTGGCCTGCAATGACACTCACTCTTGTATCATCCAGCTAATTGTAATAACTGACTCTCTGTTCCCTTTTCTAACACTTTCATCATTATTCACCTGTATCAGAACATGTTTTCTTTGATTAATTGAAAAATCGACTCGTTTTGTAACATTTGTTTTGTTTTGTTATGGTTTTCTTATTATTTTACGTCTAAACATCGATAAACGACATGATGCACCATCAATTCAACAATGAATGGGTAAGAAATCTGCAAACAGTCATATTAGGAAAGATAATTATAGGAATGACAATACCCGATTAGGGAAGCAATTTTGACAGTATTGTTAATATTCATAGGGGCTCATACCGTGACATTATCAGTTTATAATCATACTGTGAGGAATCTATTACTGCAATCAATTGAAATTGAACAACCAGTAACACTTTATCCTTTGAAATAAAAAGGGTCATTTTTTAGATACCATTTAAAACTTAAAGAACTACATTTGAATAGGGTGTATAAAAAGCCCCTGGTTTCTTTTCTTTTCAATAGCTTGTTTTCCTATAATTCATCCTTTTCTTGTGACGAAACAACATCGACGAACCTTCCAATAAACAGAATTGTATCCGACCTATTGTCTCTTATTACAAACATAAATGGGTGATCGGCCTTGAACTGTAATGGAACTGACACTATTACGGCGACAGCGAGAGTAACAGCAGCTGCCTCTGTTCCTTGCTCGTTGACATCTACAAAGGCCTGATGAAAGATGGCCGACACAAACGTCATCCTGGATTCGTCTATACCAGACAGGTCGGCTTTTAATTCTTCGAAAAGATCGGTCATTCCCATTTGTTCAAATAGTGTTGAAAGCTCAAATCCAGATTTAACTTTAAATTTGGGAAGAAACACTACCACTTTTGTAGGTGGCATGTCTTTCATCAGGCTGTGAAGTTTGGATGGAGTTAACTTCTCTTCAAGGGCAGATAATCCATCTTTATCATCTGGTAAAATGATGACCATTGATAAGCTTTTCCCTTTATAGGGCAATTCCAAAACCTCACACTTTAATTCGTCGTCATGTTTTAACGGTAACTTTCTTTCTTTTTTAAACATCATTTTTACAGTCCTGTGTTGACCTTTGAGGGTATGAAAGGTCATATCTCTGGTACCATTGTCGTCGAACTGTGTCTCCCAGTCCCCTTTAAAGTAGATAGCATTTACTAACACCATTATGGTCAATGGATTCAAAGATCCCTGAGGTAGGACGTCTTTTATTTTCTCTGCTGTTTGCTGGCTTACCCATTCGTTGATTTCTTTCCTTGCAGTTTCAAAATGCTCATAGTCCGTGGACTTTATATCGGTTTGGTAGTGTTTTGCACAAAGTTCAATGAAAGACGGTACGATTTCTGCCTTGCTGTTTGGATACAATCTGTTGGCAATCCTAAGTGTGACGTTTTCGTTTTTGGCCATAACCTTCAAGTAGTCTTCATAGGCTTCGTGCACTCGCTGACCTAAAGATTGGATACTAAGAGGTGAAACCATTTGGGCTGCTGTCTGCTCTCTGGCACCTAGATACACCATGGACATGGCCGCAGAGATGGAGAAAGGTGAGCAAAACAGATTTCCATCAGTGGACATTTTAGTTAAACGCTTGTAAATCTCCAAGGTGAACTCCATGTTTGAGTTTTGGAAATCTCTATGAAGTATATCATCTCTAAAGATTTTGCTGTTGCTTTCTGAGAGAAGTGGAGCCGTCACGAGGAGAAGCCACACCACGTGTTCTTTCATATTTCTGCTAGAACAGAAGAATAATCATATTAGCATACAATTTTTTAAAAAAACAAGCAACTCTTCTGAAATTTTCGTTTGGATACTGTATAAAGCATGTCCCATCATAACAGTGCCTATACTGTTTATTGTTATATAATCTTTCACATATCCCAGTTATAAATATGTCAGTGAGAATAAAATGAACATAACTAGTAATGAAAGACTAACCGTTATATATCATTGTTAAAACTCTCACAACAAACGTCTTACACAAATTTACAAGTATATACACTGAATAATAGCATTTTAGGCGTTGATATAATATATTTTGTGCAATAATTGTCGATGAAAAGTTCAACACATTTAATCGGACCTTAGTATCTTTCAAAAAAGTCTGAATCATTCATTTTAATGAGCTTATTGCATTTCATTCCAGAACGATGCAGGCTAACTGTTCTTCAATCTGGACATTGTTATTTGTCAGAAGAAGCAAAAATAAAATTTAACAATCTGAACCTCTGTGCCATTAAAAGTGGGTAAACGTCATTAATTTAATCAACATTTATATCACCTTTTGCAATGTTCTAGCAATCTACATGACAAGTTTCATTACTGCTGGACTGGTGGTTATTCAGAAGGTGAACATGATACAAGTTGATAGTGCCTAGACAGACGGACGAATAAGGGCGCCATTGCCCTTGACTAGGTTTATGGACTGTCAAAGTAGCAGATATTCAAATAATTGATGATATCTTCGTTTCAGTTAAAATATCTACAAGTTAATGTTAAATACCATCATTTCAATTTAATCTATATTCAATTGAATTAAGTAGGTAGAGTTACCATAAACGTTAATCGAATTGAAGCTTTGCCCAGTAGAATCAAAGATAGTTTAATGACATTTAATTAATTCAATTGAAGGTAGGTTGATGATGATTTGAATTTAAATGTAGAAATCTTCAATTCATTTGAGACGTTGTAAATAAACATAAGTTTTAATGACGGCATATGCAATTCTTTTATTTTTGATTAATTTAAGATAACAAAAATTAAAATTTAATCTCTAACTGATATTTTGAATAACAATATATGTGAAAATGATTTCAAAAATCTTCAATTCAATTAAAGATATATACAAAGCAATGAAATGTATCATCAATTATTTGCAAAACCTATCTTCATTCTTTGAAAAAATGTGTTTTTATTTTGAACATGTGCGCTTTAAGGGGAAGGGGCAAACATATGTCGAATTTCGATTCAAGGAACCATAAAGTAAGCATCAAACTTGTTTTGCTATGAACCAGGTCGACAACCCCATATCAAGATGATATCATTCTTCATCATTACTTCCCCGGCTGAAAAGTCAAGAAACGTTTTTTTAGTGCAGTAATAGGAATGAAGTTAACTTACTTGTTAAAGTCCAGATATATATCACCAACACACACCGCCCATTATCATCGAACCCTTGTGCATAAAAAGAACCCTGAAATAAAATCGATCATCAAGTGTTTTTAGCAGATACATCAGTGATCCACACAAAAACGCAATGAACTTGTGTGTTATCAATAAAACTACAAAAAAGTACTTAAAGTACGTTTTTAACAGAGGCAGATTCGGTCTGTTTGATACAGGAAGTCAGCTTTTTTTTTTTTTTTTACAGATTTCTGATACAATAGAGTGAGCAGTCTAGAGTAACCAAGTTCTGAACGAATGGATAACAATAGTTTATAGTGGCGTATTTCTGCCATCGTGATAACACATTCGACTTAACGTGATAATGATCATGGCATTTATTGTATTCTCGTTACCATTACGGTTATGTCGGTATCGGTTAAGACGACATTGATTTAAACATATTTTATTGCAAATAAATATTTACAAAAGAATTGGACACAAGTTTTACCAACTTATCAAAGTCCTTTTCTTCAAATACATGAATATAAACAATAACTTGATAAGGTAATTTACGCAATATACATTAATTATGTTTTTATATGGAAATGGAAAATAGAGACGAAGAAAAGAAGGAGAGCGAAACGAAGTAAAGGATAGTAACACAGATAGAGTAGATGAAAAATAGAGTGGAAGAAAAGACGGATAGAGTAATGAAGTAAATGATAGTAACACAGGTAGAGTCGGAGAAAAAAAAGAGTGATAGAGAGAGAAAGATGATCACATTCAGTCAAACCTGTTGCATTTGCTGATATAATTTTGGACAGATTTTGCAATTGAGGTATTTACATTAATGCTGAATTTAGGATCGCCATATAGGAGCAAGTCTAAAGTTAAATCATCACGAACAGGTTGAAGCTCTCTTATTAATAGATTGCGATGCTGGGTGTATAAGGGACAGACACAAAGGAAGTGATAAGAGTCTTCATATGGATTACCGCATGCACATTCAGCTGTATTTGATAAATTTGCTCTAAGACGACATTAGTATCAGAATATTTCGCGTTCATGTTTTCAACCGATATAATTTTGGAGATACAAGATACAAGATACAAGAAGCTTTTTTTAGAGTTGTATACCTATCAATATGGACAATTAGCTCTTGAGAGCTATTTTTGCGACAAACACAAGTATATAAAATAACAATAACATAATGTAATAGTATCAGTAGTAATAAGTTATGAATATTATAGCAAACAATTTTTACATTACAGAAATATACACTGTAATGTCAAATGGAAGTTAGATATTTAATTGCACAAATTGTTTAATATTATCACAAGGCTTGACACTTATTTACATTATGTTGTTTAGATAAAATTCAAAGATTTGACATCTATTAATGAACGATGTGTTTCTACAATAAATGTTATAACATTTTTGTACATCTATACAAGTGTATTGTACGTACATGCTAATATAGCAAAGGGTAAAAATTGACATCATATACACTAACATAGTGTGGATTGAAAACAGCATTTCATGATTAAGAGATAAAAAAACGTGGTAAAATTAACATTTTCATAACCTGGTTGCCGTTTGTATATTCAAATGTAAAAAATGATATAAAGAAACGTTATGTAACGCACACACTTAACTGTAATTGTACCTTTAAAATGTTGCAATAAATACAGATTGCCAAAAATGAATTACGCTGCATCATACAGGCCAAACTTATTTACAAAAATAATTCCTACAAGAGTTAGTACGGTTTATTATTCAGGATAAAGATTTATTATATAATAAAATATTATATTGTATTTATTATACAATTAAAATGATCGTTAAAAGTAAAACTGTTGGCCATTTATTATTCTGATAAAATTCTGCGGACTACTTTTGTTAGCGGAACATGCTCTCAAATTAGTATATGTGATGCGTCCTTTCTCGTCGTCATTGCATATAGAGACGTTAGTATTGAAACCACTTATGTAGGTAGGTTTCTCGAATTATATAATAAATATAATCTAACACTCGTGTTCATGTTATATTGAACATGAACACTCGTGCTAGATCCTCTATTTATTACACGGAAGAGAATAGAAATGAGCATGAAAAACCGCGCAACGTTCATGATATCTAACTTAACTCATGTTAACCCCCGACCTTTACCACGTTTTAATTTCATGAGCTACGAGCTGACTACTCATTGATGCATGATCCTTTCAAATATGTACTGTACTTGTTAGTCCGAATTATTCTGACGTTTTATCGAATCGACGACAGGCCGATATTAAAAAAGTCGACAAAACGTCAGAATAATTTGGACTATGTACTTGTGTGATCTCATGCACATCTTTCAGACTGCCATCAGCTCCACGAAAATCGAACATACAGCTCTACAGCTTAGCTCAAGGGAAATAACTCCAAACCAATGAGGTGACTTCAATACAATGTACGTAATCCTTCACACTAAATATGCATAGGTGTACATATTTTTTGACGATGTCAGTACATGTTATATACATTGCTTCCCTAGCCATGTTATGAAAGATGGGCGGCAGACAAAAATAGTACAGATAACAAAATATCAATACCTGGTACCGGGTACATTCATATGGATACAAACTCACCTTGTCAGACAGCGCCAAAGAGTGATAGATATACTGTGGCCAGGATACCTGGTTTGAGTGTACGGGATCTAAAACATTGATATATTCATTCATAAGAGAATGTTAGTCACGTTGTTATCGACTAACATTTTCAATATCTATTTGCGTAATAATTACTCACCTATCGTGTACTTCCGTAATCGACGTGGGTAGGTTCTGTTTACTGGACCGCTTTCCTTTATCCGGTTGGCTCTATAACGTTCGACATTATGTTGATGTCGCATCGAAGAACAGCTCAAATATTCAAAGTATATGTCATGTCAAGTAAATGTAAATCGCTCAAGGATGATAGTGATTTGCGAGTCAAGTATGTATGTAGGTATGTATGTAAGTATGTAGGTAGGTAGGTAGGTAGGTAGGTATGTATGTATGTATGTAGGTAGGTAGGTATGTATGTATGTATGCAGGTAGGTAGGTAGGTAGGTAGGGGTGCATGTATGTATGTATGTATGTATGTATGTATGTGTGTGTGCGTGTGCGTGTGTGCGTGTGTGTGTGTGTGTGTGTGTGTATGTATGTATGTAAATATGTATGTATGTATGGTAGGTTGGTAGGTAGGTAGGTAGGTAGGTAGAGGTAGGTAGCTTTGTCATTACTGGAATCGATTTACATTTACAAATATCGTTTTGGCTCCCTTATTTTTTTAACCTGCATGTATTCCCCTTATCCATCACTACTGTGTGCGTATTGGCATTGTTAACGTGTTCGATATCGTATGTGTTCAACCCAAGGGGGATAATCTCAATGGTCTGGTTTACGTGTCGATATCGTAATTGTTCAACCCAAAGGGGATAATCTCAATGGTCTGGTTAACGTGTCGATATCGTAATTGTTCAACCCAAGGGGGATAATCTCAATGGTCTGGTTAACGTGTCGATATCGTATGTGTTCAACCCAAAGGGGAATAATCTCAATGGTCTGGTTAACGTGTCGAAATCGTATGTGTTCAACCCAAAGGAGAATAATCTCAATGGTCTGGTTGACGTGTCGATATCGTATGTGTTCAACCCAAAGGGGAATAATCTCAATGGTCTGGTTAACGTTTCGATATCGTATGTGTTCAACCCAAAGGGGGATAATCTAAATGGTCTGGTTAACGTGTCGATATCGTATGTGGTCAACCCAAAGGGGAATAATCTCAATGGTCTGGTTAACGTGTCGAAATCGTATGTGTTCAACCCAAAGGAGAATAATCTCAATGGTCTGGTTAACGTGTCGATATCGTATGTGTTCACCCCAAAGGGGGATAATCTCAATGGTCTGGTTAACGTGTCGGTATCGTATGTGTTCAACCCAAAGGGGAATAATCTAAATGGGCTGGTTAACGTGTCGATATCGTATGTGTTCAACCCAAAGGGGAATAATCTAAATGGTCTGGTTAACGTGTCGATATCGTATGTGTTCAACCCAAGGGGGATATTTCAATGGTCTGGTTATGTAGTTGCTTCCCTTAGTATGTTTGTAATGTTAACTTTTACAATTAAAATGTTCTGATGTGATTCGCTTATTGTATATCAATTAAATCACCATTAAGTACTTAATGATATTGTCCAAGTAACACTGATATAGGTGTACAATGTGTCTAGCATATGATGTGGTGGTCTGTCGCTGTCTGTTACAACAGATACTGTTCTTCTTTTTCGTATCTAATACCATGGGGTGGATAGATATACTTATGTATTTTTTCTGATACATGTTTATATAATTACAATTTGATATGGAACATACGACAACATTTAACATTTTATGAAATTCTATCACACACTAGTGATGTCCTAGTCCTTCCATCTTCCGAATAGTGTACTACCTGAGACTTTTTACTTTAGGTATCCTTGTAATTTCTTTCACAAGGTAAACGTATAATTGCTTTCCCCTTTTTGGCCATTAGCATCACCGAAAAGTCCTAGAATGACGAAATAGTTGTTTGGTGCTGGGTAATTCCAGTTTAGTGTACAGTATCTATTACAAAATTGTACACGTGCAATCACGTGTACGTGTTTGGTTACAATTCAGGATACTTTGTGGTAGACTCGGCTGGTGGATAGTTGATGCCCGCAATCATGTATTTCGAGTAGAAGCAGGATACATGATACACACACTTTTCTTACAATTAATTTAAATAACCGGTATTTCTCTTATTCCTGAAATTCATATAATTAAGAGGTTTATGCACCTGCGACTCTGGTCAACCCTTTTTATAAAAGCAATTTAGATTTCAACCATTTTGGCCACTAGCATCATCAATGAGTTCAAGAGGACGAGACAACTGTGTAATGTAGTATAATGCTAATCGTGTAAGACACTCAACAACATCATCCCTCAGGTTGAAGATTTCTGGATAGTCTAAAACGGAGTAATGTACTTAAAACCCTTTCAAGGTGAAAACTCGTCAGATTATTTTAAAAAAGATCACCAATCTAAAGAGGAAAGGTTGTTCAATGACAACAAACATAGCATTGTTTTTAATTTTCACAGAGTTTGTTAAAAATCCAATTAAAAATAACTTGTATTAATGACTTGTTTAATAACCTTAACAACAGGACTCAGGCCCTGGTTTCAGACACAATCCTTAACTTAAATATTTTTGAGGTTTCGCTGGGAAACCCCATACGCTATATGAAAAGCCTTATGTAAGAATTTGATTTGGTAGAGCGGCTTAAGATCGTCGAGATCCATTGCGTCTTTTGACTCCAACATGATTGGTTAATAACGCAGTTTCAACAAAACGAAAGCTTGGTTATAGATACCGCACTGTGATCGCGTCATTTGGTACCTACATCACAAAATGGCGCCAGGCGTTTACAACTCTCTCTGAAAATATCATATGTTGTAATATCTCGTCCTTTCCATCTCTTATAAGGATTACATGATTACGTGATACAAGAATAACACGAAATCCACACATTTGTATGATATTCCGCGATTTTTGAGAAAGCGGCGACATGCATATATATGCTATTAATTCACACCTTTGCGAGTTACCTCCCGTAGAACCATCGACAAGGTTTTCACTAAAATTGTAAAATTTTGATGCAGTTGTTAATTTCTCTGATACCCATTTGCTTCTCGATATAAGGTACATTCACGAAAGCGGGGTCAGATAAATATTATCATACATTACATGCACACTTTTTCATATTCAGTTACTAGAAACAGATAGAAATGGGTTTTCGTCACTTAAAATCTTTTCTTTGTTGCTTGTCCAATTTACATTGTACGGCGTCTGGAACATAGCCGATTGCATGTCGGGAATGAGCTGCACGACTCAAGGTCATAGACTACAACTGTTACAACGATCAGGTGTTGGTGAACATTTAACGTGGTTATGAAGCGAGCTAAGTGATCGAATCTTGAATGCAACAAATTACATGTGTCTTTTCACCGAAAAACGTTTGTTTAACTTTATTCACCCTGCAAGGTATTAAGTGTAATATCAATTGCCTACAATTTACCTTATATAGACCGACTCAAATAGTTGGGTCCTCCATATATAACATTTAGGTAGTATTGATTCAGTGAGGTAACGTAAATTCCTTTGTTTAAATTAGTCGTCAGTATAGAAGCAACTTATTAATTGCATCATATGTTGATAATGTTATATAATTTATCAATATATAACGATACTAGACTTCTATTATTAGTTAAATTGGTAAGGTTGTCGTTTATCTAGAAGTCGTAGAAGTTTGTTATCGGCATTTTGAATATACCCATTGTTTGCGTCATTTATAGTTAATGTGTTCCATTAGCAATACGTCTAATTTGTGTCTGAATTGTACAACTAGTGTTTTTATATTGTTTTAGGGAATTATCTTCGAATGTTACAAACAACCAGAACATTGAAGCGATTATCGAGTATTTTGTGTAAAAGAACCCAATTCAACAATGATTTATATTTCTCCGAATATTTTGCTTGTACTTTAGCATTACATTTACCTGCGCAGCATGTGCTGTAATATATGTAGCTATACTTCGTTGATTACTTTTGATACCGTGCGTCAAATTGCAGAATAATTGGATCTTTTGACTTGTTTCAGAAAACAGTGTTTGATGTAGTAGTATAGGACGTCTCTATCGACCACTGTTTTCCTTCTTTATCCTTGTAATCCGCCATCTTGAATTGAGAAGGGATTTTTGGAGGGTTAATTAAAAGACTTATGTACTCGTAATGATGATTAATCGAAGACATTGGAATTATTTGTTTATTGATAATAATGATATTGAATGGTATGTGATTAAATTTATGATTAGTATAGGCCAATTATAACACTAGGTATTGTGTGTAATTTAAAGGGTGGTAGACCCTTTGTTGCAGGTGACAATCTCTATTGAAAATAATCCATTGACTTATGATCCTAAATTCATCGTACGTATTGCTATATATATGTATCATGTGTACACACAGCCAAAAATGTACGCAGTGGTGTGCCTACTCATGCGGTAAGACACTGTATACAGTACAGTTTGTACCAAAAGAGTTATGGAACCGCTTTAATGTATCAATAAAAAAAAAAATGTCAAGAAACGATGTGTACATGTATTCAGTGAAGTTTATTGTTCCCGTTATTAAGGTAAGTATAGGTCAGACAAAAAGTTTTTATGTCGCCTGCGAAAAGCTGGTGACACATAGGTATTGCTATGTCGGTGTCGGCGTCGGCGTCCGCACAGAGGTTTTCGTGCGATAACTTGAGTTTCCTTGGGCCGATCAAAATCAAACTTCATGCAGTACTTCCTTACCAAAAGTGCTTGCTTGGGATTGCTTTTCAGGTCCGAAGGTCAAAGGTCAAGGTCACTGTTACTATAAATAAAAAAATATGTTTTTGTGCGATAACTTGAGTTTCCTTGGGCTGATAGCACAATCTCCCAGCTTCCTGCGCAGGCGACACATCCACTTCCGTGGATTTCTTGTTGTTATGACACAGCGGACTCTTTGTATGTGAATCCATAAGACCCAAACATGTACAATACATAGTCATTATAATCCATTTATCAATACCTCCGTTGGTTTTATGTTGCAATCCTCGGTTTCCACAAGACAGACATTATATATTTGTGAAAAGTGCATATACTATTATTGTCTTATTGCCTCCTTCTGGGTATTCTGAATATACCGTCGCTTCCTTCCCTGATACTCTAATACCTACCACTCTCTCCCGTCTGCATCAGTAGACCACGTGGTTTACCCTCTCTAACAACTCGCTTCCTTTCAGACATTGTCCTCTGCAACACCGCTTCCATGGGGACACTTGAGCAGTTGCTCTGCCTTCGGTATATTGGCCGCTCCGGTCGGTACTGTAAGTATTGCTCCGGGTCTTCTAGATTCTGACATCCTGGGTCTCTGATGTTCTGGCGCTCCGACGTGTTGGTGTGTTTTGATAACGGCCAATATATCGAAGACAGAAAATGGCTCAAGTTTCCCCATGGTAACGGTGCTGCAGAGGACAATTCCTAAGGGAAGCCTTACACGGGTTACATTTACTTCGGTTTTTTATGTTTCCGCATCACGACTGATGAAGTGCACGTTTTGATGTTTGCCACTGCCGAATCCCGTGGCGTTACTAAAGGGCGTTATCTTCAAAGCTGCTCATACAGTATTTCCTATTGTGTGTTTTGTATTTTCTATGGTTTAATTACACGTACCTCCTTCCTACAGGCACCTCTTAGTTGTAATCAGCAATGTTGATACTAATGCATTCATGTAAATTGTATATTGTTTCATTATCTTTATTTGTGAAAATACATTATAGCGTCTGTAAATGGTACGATGTGCACATTGAAATGCCATTAAAATCTTCATTTGATAAACGAAGGTAAATCTTGTTGTATTGTTGAATCTTAACATGTAGGTTTTTACCAGAGTTTACTCGCTGACTTGTCTAGACACTGAATAGTGTATGTTTTATATATATTATTTATATTATCAATACTGACACATTATCCAGTTTACATCGTTGATAATAACACATATTTCATTTTACATTAGTGATACTTTCACATGTGTCTTTAAAGCATTGATATAAACACGTTGTATTTTATTTCCTTGGTACTTGTTTCGTTTAACATAATTGCTTATAATAAATGTGTTTAGTTTATAGCATTGATAGTATAACAATTAACTACCGTACACTATATACACTACGTTAATCTGGACGAGCAGTTGACTGGGTATGTTAATATCGGTCGTACGAGCATTGCTTCAGTAAAAACACAGAACATTTAGTTACCTGGTACTACAACAGATGTGAACAGTTGGAAGATAAAACAACAACTGGTTGCTAGTTACAGGTAAGCCCATTCGTACGTATTGAAAAAGAAAAAGAGAATATGCCAGCAGGCTCTTTTTTATTTTTCATAAAGCAGAATTCTGTGTTTAAAAGGACATACCACATCGTTGGATGTAGTAAGTTCCTATAGTACATGTAAAATCCTGTCTCTACAGACGCCTGCTATTTTCGACATGATTTTAAGTCTCACAGGACTATTTTTGTTACCTTAATTTGTCTCGTTTACACATTCCGAACTTATTTCTTTGTTGGTGTTATGGCCATGGGATCTGACGGTTCTACCCGTCAGAGATAACATCATTGCACAAAAAACCCTGTTACACTCAGGACACACATATAGGACTAGGGTTTATGAAGTTAATCGAGCTGGAATGCTTTGTTATTGAAATTCAATGGTAAACCTTTGTGTAATTTGTTTTATTTGTCGGTTACCTAATAATAATGGCATTTGTTTCGGATGAGACTTGCGTGAATGACAAGTCCCGTCAGACCGTGAATTCTCAAGGTCTCAAGATTTTATTATACAGTCACGTCACAGGTAAACGTGTACGAATCGTGTATACTTCACAAGAGGTGAACTATTACAATTTACGAATGTTATCAGCATTTCTGAACACAACATAAATAGAAAAACAACATAGAACAACATATATTACAGCTATGATACAATACTTAGTGCAACTCAATATACATACACATAATCGAATACAAGTATAAATTTAAGTATAATACAACACATTGCATCGCACACAATATACAAAACACAGTACAACATAAACACATAAACAACATTAAATTTAAGTATAATACAACACATTGCATCGTACACAATATATACAAAACACAGTACAACATACAACACATAAACAACATTAAATTCAAATATAATACAACACATTGCATCGTACACAATATATAAAAAACACAGTACAACATACAACACATAAACAACATTAAATTTAAGTATAATACAACACATTGCATCGTACACAATATATAAAAAACACAGTACAACATACAACACATAAACAACATTAAATTTAAGTATAATACAACACATTGCATCGTACACAATATATAAAAAACACAGTACAACATACAACACATAAACAACATTAAATTCAAATATAATACAACACATTGCATCGTACACAATATATAAAAAACACAGTACAACATACAACACATAAACAACATTAAATTTAAGTATAATACAACACATTGCATCGTACACAATATATAAAAAACACAGTACAACATACAACACATAAACAACATTAAATTCAAATATAATACAACACATTGCATCGTACACAATATATAAAAAACACAGTACAACATACAACACATAAACAACATTAAATTTAAGTATAATACAACACATTGCATCGTACACAATATATAAAAAACACAGTACAACATACAACACATAAACAACATTAAATTTAAGTATAATACAACACATTGCATCGCACACAATATATAAAAAAAACACAGTACAACATACAACACATAAACAACATTAAATTTAAGTATAATACAACACATTGCATCGCACACAATATACAAAACACAGTACAACATACAACACATACACGACATTAAATTCAAATATAATACAACACATTGCATCGTACACAATATATATAACAACATACAGTACAACATATTACACATATACGACATTAAATTCGAATAAAAAAAACAACCACATTGCATTGTTCACAATATAATACAACACACTATACCATTTATCATCATCACTCAACTATATAACAACGTTTCTGATTGGATAAAACTGGTCACATGACGAGGTAGTTAAACTTAATGTCGCCCTCATATTCCCGATCATATCTCCCGTATTCGGAGTCTCTCTAGAAAAATAAGCAAGGGCACCACGACCTAATGACGGAAGCAGACGACTTCAAAAACGCGTCAACATTACCATCTGTACTACAGTGTTTTGTTTTGGCATAATAAAATAGTCACTGCCTTCACTGTTGAGAAACACAAGTATTCATCGAATGAGACATTTGTGACACTTGTCATCGAGTGAGACGCTTGTGACACTTGTCATTGAGTGAGACGTCTGTGACACTTGTCATCGAGTGAGACGCTTGTGACACTTGTCATCGAGTGAAACGTTTGTGACACTGATCATCGAATGAGACGCTTGTGACACTAATAATCGATTCAGACGCTTGTGACACTGATCATCAAGTGAGACGCTTCGGACACTTGTCACCGAGTGAGACGCTTGTGACACTTGCCATCGAGTGAGACGTTTGTGACAATCTCAGAAACTAGACCAGATGTGTGCTCAGAAAAGTAACAAAACCTCAAGGTGAACGTTATATAATAGTGTATCAAGGTACTGTACGTCACTATAATCCGTGATTTATGTCAATGCCCGAAGATTTGCGAATCGATAATTGATTTCAAAAGCATGCGGGGCAGCGGTGGCCGAGTAGTTTAGGCGTCTGGCCGTTTACTATCACTAGCCTTCCATCAATGGGTCGCAGGTTCGAGACCTACGCGGGCCACTAACCAGGTACTGGCCGCAGGCCTGTAGGTTTTCTCTGCCACCAAAACCTGTGACGTAAAATACGAACAAATTGAACGAAATCAACATCATGCGGATATCTATTTAGTCGTTTTGTATAAGGATTTTCTTCTGATATTTTTCTTTTCGAGAAATACAAGTCTCAATAAAAAAAAGGTATTTGAAGTATATTGGCTAGAGGAACTAAATTAATGTTTGATATTGTACTGCTGCTATAGTGTTTGATATTGTACTGCTGCTATACTGTTTGCTATTGTACTGCTGCTATAGTGTTTGATATTGCACTGCTGCTATAGTGTTTGATATTGTACTGCTGCTATAGTGTTTGATATTGTACTGCTTCTATAATGTTTGATATTGTACTGCTGCTATACTGTTTGCTATTGTACTGCTGCTATAGTGTTTGATATTGTACTGCTGCTATAGTGTTTGATATTGTACTGCTTCTATAATGTTTGATATTGTACTGCTGCTATGGTATTTGATATTGTACTGCTGCTATAATGTTTGATATTGTACTGTTGCTATAGTGTTTGATATTGTACTGCTGTTATGATGTTTAAAACATTCGGCGTCTTGATCACGAATAACATTAGTTTGTAGCTTTTTGAAGAACGTGTTTTCCTTTTATTTTGCAGGATTATGAAAGCAAGACTTGCTCACCCAGTGTTTGGATTGGTGATATGGATTCTCTTTGTCATCACGGCTCTTTTCTTAATATTGCTGTCGATCTTGATAAAAGAAAAAATCGACTGCTTAAAAGAAGAAGAACATATCCCTCCTCCCGTACCACTTGTTAAGAAAATTGAGGATTTACCAGTCATTGTGACGGCTGCCCATGCACAAAATTTCGACCAGTCGATGGCTATGCTGCAAACGGTGTTACGGAATTTGAAACAGCAGCATCCGAGCTTGCATGTAATATTCTATGATATTGGCTTGACAGATACTCAGAATGATACATTGTATAATTTGTCAAATGACACCGCTTTTGAAGTTCGCCGGTTTCCATTTTCCGAATATCCGGCTCATTTCCAGAGGATTGATTCTGGCGCCCTAAAGCCGATACTGGTCCAGCTAGTCCTCGGTGACTATGACTTTGTTATGTGGGTTGGGTCTTCCCTCCGATTCCATACTGATGGTAATTTGAACATTCTTTTCGATTTTGCGCGATCTGCTAAAAGCGGAATCATTGTTCTGGACGGATTAGAACTTCTCAAGTCAAAAGCAACAAGGGACCTCGTCAGGCTAAGTGTCCGGGATGAGCCTATTTTTTACGAATATTCCCGAGAATTAAATACTAATTGGCTCCTCGTCAACAGACGAACTGACGTCATGGAGACAGTCATAATCCCCTGGATAAAATGCGCTGTCAAGCGGAAGTGTTTTTTCTCACAACAGACGGTTTATGCGCATCCGTGTGGGGTTTCTAATGAAATCGGAAGCAAATGGTCTCAAAGGAATGTGACAAGACGTCTTGAAGACGGAGCAAATGGATGTGACATCGACCGGTCTGTTCTTTCTGTGATCTTGTATAAACTTCACGAAGGCTGCAGATTTGCATATATGTTTACGAAAAAAATGATTAATTATGACATAACCATTTGCTCCTAAATATGATTTGTTGACGATCGACTTCTTGTCAAGGAGGCGAAGATCGTCAACATGCAGGAACACAACGCACCACATTGTCGACACGCATGGACAAAACGTACCACATCGTCAACACGCAAGGACAAAACGTACAACATCGTCAACACGCAGGGACAAAACGTACAACATCGTCAACACGCAGGGACAAAACGTACAACATCCTCAACACGCAGTGACAAAACGTACCACATTGTCGACACGCAGGGACAAAACGTACCACATCGTCAACACGCAGGAACACAACGAACCACATTGTCGACACGCAGGGACAAAACTTACCACATTGTCAACACGCAGGAACACAACGAACCACATTGTCGACACGCAGGGACAAAACGCACCACATCGTCAACACGCAGGGACAAAACGTACCACATCGTCAACACGCAGGGACAAAACGTACCACATCGTCAACACGCAGGGACAAAACGAACCACATCCTATATGCCTTCTTAATCTCCTATGTTTCAGTATTGGTAATTTTATATTATCAGTCTGTTTTCATAGCTTAAACATTCATTCCCGGTTTTGTTGCTCTTCTCTGTACATTTTATATCTCATTTATATACTTTTGTAAATATGGGTTCCAAAACACACCATATTTTCAAGATGTGGCCTTACAAGTGCTTTTTATCAAAGACAAAATGGTGTAATGTCTAAATATGTGGAAGTTCTTCGGATGGTTCCCATTGTTCTATTGGCTTGATTGACCGCATCGTAAATTATTCAAAGGTCCTTTTCGATGTCACTTTCTCCAATGCCACCTCGACTCTTCCGATTTCCGTGACTGTATAAAACTGTTGATGATACTTTTTTTATTTTGTTTTGTTTCTATATTTCTCCTTTAGTTGTTCATATGAGTTCTGCAATTTGTTGGATTTCTTTTACAGAAATTATTTATTAAAACAACAGCACAGAAGGCAGGCGACCTGACAATAGACACGCTATGACGTGTTTCTCACGTTATTGGTTTAACTTGGTGAATATGTAGGGACTGATTTGTTTGCATTGTTTGGACATAAATGGGTAAATAAACCCTCACATGCACACAAACCTATTAGTACATTACCACTTATCTGTGACCAAGGCCAACAACATTTACCATATTTGATGGAAATATCATCTATCATTATTTTTTATATTATTCCCGACAAGTGATTGGCCAGGAGTGCATCACGTGTCCACCGATAAAAACTGAAATTGACTTGGAGCGCGTGTTTTTTGTTGAAGGACTGGATGTTTCTAAATATCGAAATATGACGTATCTCCAAACAATGCACTGTCCCACTTCCGAAGCTTTTTTGGTGTTTTTTTCAGATTGCTTACATTTCTGTTTTGTAAAATAATAAAACAATTGTAGCCTTTAACTTCGGTCAATACCTGAATTTATCGACCCGAGAAATGACATATTGACCTCGGACTACGTCCTCGGTTAATATATCTTTTATCGGGTTGATAAATCCAGGTATCGACCTCAGCCAAAGGCTATAATTGATTATTATTATTTTTTCATATTATTCCCGACTAGTGATTGGCCAGAAGTGCATCACGTGTCCACCGTTAAAAACCGATATTGACTTGGAGCGCGTGATTTTTGTTGAAGGACTGGGTGTTTCTAAAATTAGAATTATGACGTGTTTCCAAACAATGCACCGACCCAATTCCGAAACCTTTTTTTTTCTTTTTTTTTTCAGATTGCTTACATTACTGTTTTGTTAAATAATAAAACAATTGTAGCCTTTAACTTCGGTCAATACCTGGGTTTATCGACCTCAGCCAAAGGCTTTAATTGAATGATGTTGATATTTATAAAGAACTAGTTGGCGACGTCACTTAATCATATCAATATATCGAAAATATACCTAAACATGTTGTATTTGTATTGCTGAATTACGTGTTTCCCACCCCAATTTAACAAGTGAAGTGGGTCTAATTAGCAGTCGTTCACGCATACACCTAACGAATTTTTGTCCTTACATGTGTATACACGTAAAAAAACAAACATGACTCAGGGAGATCACTGAGATGGACAGAGAGTGTAGTCGGTAAAGGTTCATACAAGGGTGCAGGTGACACACGGATTCATGACGCTATAACTACACATGTACGGAGAGGTAGATGTACCTGTGTGTGTGCTTTATGGTCAAGCTTCATCATTTTACAGGTAGGTACATACATTTGGTAAAACACAAAACGTTTAACAGGATTGGACTGTGTCACTGTCCAGGTCCTGCCGTTAACCCAGTTGTGATGTGGTTCACAACGGGTTCCTTTTTTGGGATTTAGCCCGCTCTGAAAGTAGTACACGAACATGGACGGGTACCATTTAATAATTGAGTGTAATTTATATTCCAACACAAGAAGTGCATACAAATGTTAAAACAACGTATCACCAAAATATAAAAAAGTTGGTTCGATTAAAGTTTGTCTACGACCAAGACTACATTTCAACATGGGAGAAAAACTTTTTTCTAACGGCAGATTTCTGTATTACATTGATATTTGCCCTGATTTAAGATAACAGTCTCTTGAATGCAGTCCTGAAGGATGTTCACTATTTTGAGTTACTTAGATTTTGATAAAGGCGGTTATAAGGATTAATATGTGGTTTTGTGTTAGTAGGTTAAAGGTCCTATAACCAGCTAAGGTCATTTGAAGACGTACGCGTGTGTAACAAATATGACTGTTCACGTGCCAGTTGTAATAACCCATGATATAATTATACACCTTATACTAGCTCTAATCATGTCATTAGACCTCAGGTGTACGTGTCTCCTACGGTGTAGCCTCTATAGATCGATACGCCGTATGAACAGACTAACCAACCTTAAACGGCTTTAACAACCGACCGCTAAACAATGATATATATCAGCTAGCAATCAACATAGCAAGCATTCAAAGGGGTAAACATATATAGCGAACACTTTAAACAAAAGTACAAATACGAAAACCCATCTCAACGCTTAAAAGAAATGTGTACATAGCAACTCAAATACAAGTAAACGTTTCAACCAAAAATATCAAAATAAAACCTTATGAACGATGGCCATTTTATTGCAGATAGAACCAACAGGGCCCAGACAGAGACCTATATACTATAAACTGCTGGGTATGTATCTGGTCCAGACAGACACCTATATACTACAAACTGCTGGGTATGTATCTGGTCCAGACAGAGACATATTTACTACAAACTGCTGGGTATGTCTCTGGTCCAGACAGAAACCTATATACTACAATCTGCTGGGTATGTCTCTGGTTCAGACAGAAACCTATTTACTACAAACTGCTGGGTATGTCTCTGGGCCAGACAGAGACCTATATACTACAAACTACAAACTGCTGGGTATGTATCTGGTCCAGGCAGACACCTATATACTACAAACTGCTGAGTATGTCTCTGGTCCTGACGGAAACCTATATACTACAAACTGCTTGGTATGTCTCTGGTCCAGACAGAGTCCTATATACTACAAACTGCTGGGTATGTATCTGGTCCAGGCAGACACCTATATACTACAAACTGCTGAGTATGTCTCTGGTCCTGACGGAAACCTATATACTACAAACTGCTTGGTATGTCTCTGGTCCAGACAGAGTCCTATATACTACAAACTGCTGGGTATGGCTCTGGTCCAGACAGAGACCTATATACCACAAACTGCTGGGTATGTCTCTGGTCCAGGCAGAGACCGATATACTACAAACTGCTGGGTATGTCTCTGATCCAGACAGTGGGTATGTATCTGGTCCAGACAGAGACATATTTACTACAAACTGCTGGGTATGTCTCTGGGCCAGACAGAGACCTATATACTACAAACTACAAACTGCTGGGTATGTATCTGGTCCAGGCAGACACCTATATACTACAAACTGCTGAGTATGTCTCTGGTCCTGACGGAAACCTATATACTACAAACTGCTTGGTATGTCTCTGGTCCAGACAGAGTCCTATATACTACAAACTGCTGGGTATATCTCTGGTCCAGACAGATACCTATATACTACAAACTGCTGGGTATTTCTCTTGTCCAGACAGAAACCTTTATACTACAATCTGCTGGGTATGTCTCTGGTCCAGACATAGACCTATATACTACAAACTTCTGGGTATGTCTCTGGTCCAGACAGAGAGCTATATATTACAAACTGCTGGGTATGTCTCTGGTCCAGGCAGAGACCGATATACTACAAACTGCTGGGTATGTCTCGGGTCCAGACAGAGACCTATATACTACAAACTGAACGGTATGTCTCTGGTCCAGACAAAGACCTATATACTACAAACTACTGGTTATGTCTCTGGTCCAGACAGAGACCTATATTCTACAAACTGCTGGGTATGTCTCTGGTTCAGACAGAAACCTATTTACTACAAACTGCTGGGTAAGTCTCTGGTCCAGACAGAGACCTATATTCTACAAACTGCTGGGTATGTCTCTGGTTCAGACAGAAACCTATTTACTACAAACTGCTGGGTAAGTCTCTGGTCCAGACAGAGACCTATATCCTACAAACTGCTGGGTATGTCTATGGTCCACACACAGACCTATATACTACGAACTGCTGGGTATGTCTCTGGTCCAGACAACGCTGCTGGTGAAATTGTCGTAAGGATCTATATACTACAAACTGCTGGGTATGTTTCTGGTCCACACACAGACCTATATACTACAAACTGCTGGGTATTTCTCTTGTCCAGACAGAAACCTTTATACTACAATCTGCTGGGTATGTTTCTGGTCCAGACAGAGACCTATATACTATCTGGTCCAGACAGAGACATATTTACTACAAACTGCTGGGTATGGCTCTGGTCCAGACAGAAACCTTTATACTACAATCTGCTGGGTATGTCTCTGGTTCAGACAGAAACCTATTTACTACAAACTGCTGGGTATGTCTCTGATCCAGACAGTGGGTATGTATCTGGTCCAGACAGAGACCTATATACTACAACCTGCTGGGTATATCTCTGGTCCAGACAGATACCTATATACTACAAACTGCTGGGTATCTCTCTGGTCCAGACAGCGACCTATATACTACAAACTGCTGGGTATGAATCTCCTCCAGACAGAGACCTATAAACAGACACCTATATACTACAAACTGCTGGGTATTTCTCTTGTCCAGACAGAAACCTTTATACTACAATCTGCTGGGTATGTCTCTGGTTCAGACAGAAACCTATTTACTACAAACTGCTGGGTATGTCTCTGATCCAGACAGTGGGTATGTATCTGGTCCAGACAGAGACCTATATACTACAACCTGCTGGGTATATCTCTGGTCCAGACAGATACCTATATACTACAAACTGCTGGGTATTTCTCTTGTCCAGACAGAAACCTTTATACTACAATCTGCTGGGTATGTCTCTGGTCCAGACACAAACCTATATACTACAAACTGCTGGGTCTGTCTCCGGTCCAGACAGAGACCTATATCCTACAAACTGCGGGTTATGTCTCTGGTCCAGACAGAAACCTATATTCTACAAACTGCTGGGTATGTCTCTGGTCCAGCCAGAGACCTATATACTACAAACTGCTGGGGATATCTCTGGTCCAGACAGAGACCTATATACCACAAACTGCTGGGTATGTCTCTGGTCCAGATAGAAACCTATATACTACAAACTGCTGGGTCTGTCTCCGGTCCAGACAGAGACCTATATCCTACAAACTGCGGGTTATGTCTCTGGTCCAGACAGAAACCTATTATGTATCTGGTCCAGACAGACACCTATATACTACAAACTGCTGGGTATCTCTCTGGTCCAGACAGCGACCTATATACTACAAACTGCTGGGTATGTCTCTGGTCCAGACAACGCTGCTGGTGAAATTGTCGTAAGGATTAAAATACCACTATTGTAGATCATTTATCAGTATGTCAATCGACGATGACAAACTGTTTAAGTATTTGAGAGTTAAATGGTGTTGCATCTTGTATAATAGTTTGAGTTAACATTTCCTTCGGATGGAAGAAGCATCTAGACCTGTTTCAGAATATGAAGCATCGGAAAGGGTACACACCGGAAAGTCCAATTGTCAAACAATAGATTATTTTGGGTCGTTTTCTAACTTTTCAAATATTGCAAAGCCACCCCATATTCTAAAACCTGAAAAGTTTTATAAATTCGTTTGAGAGTTTCTTGATTCTGTATTTCAGTCGTTGTAAGACGTTACTTTTTTCCAGAACAAACACATACAAAAACTCATTGAAATAATCCCACATTTCATTTTTCCACTTGACTTTATCTCTCCCTTAGTGTCTAGAGGGAATAAATATTTCATTAAGAAGTTTTGTATAAAATTTGTCACAAATATTTAGACCATACGTTAAAGTCTGAAAGTATCTGTTCAAAATTATTTGAATTTCAAAAATCATTTGACTTTATCATCAACATAAAGACAACCAGTCATAAAACGTTTTATTTTTATTTTTTATAAAGAGCAAGTATAGGTAAAATGTTTAAGGTTTAAGGAACTGCCTTATTGAGAATATTAATTTACAAAAATGTTTTCCGTGAAAGAGATAGTTTTCCAATAAGGTAAATATTTTAACAAAAATCACGTATTAATTTTACTTCCACCTTCAAACCTTTATGCCAAACCCAATCGAAAGCTTGAGAAATATCGGAATATTGAATGTTTTCTCTTCAATATCACTACCATTATGTCCAGATTTAGGTATTCTTATGAAACATGATCAACAGATATATTATACCAAGATGTATGTTGTCTTAAGTGTTAATTCTATAGTGTTCAACGTCTGCATTAATCTTCTTTACAAAAACAAAACTCAGTAAATTAATACCGAAGTGTTAACAAACCCATATTTCGAACGCATAATCGATAAAACTCGAGCAAACTATGAACAAAGAAAATATTTACATGGAGACCCTATATAAAACTAAGGAGAATAAGGACAGGTGTTCCGGAATGGTAAGCGCCTTCTTCTTCATTGATTACACTAGCCATCAAATACAATCCAGGTTATGTCATCTCCTTGCATCGAGAACTCAGGAAGTGACAAAAAAAACACAAGGCACACTAGTAAGCATAATAGAAAAGATCGACTTTCACATCACACAAAGAAATAGCATAAACCCATGCTATATCTTAATGGCATCCATAAAACTCCCATACTCTTCATAAACCTACATCTTTTAAAACTCTGTGTTGGAAGTTTGTCCGTCAGCAGTCGACATCTATCAGAAAAGTCATGATATTCGAAGCAAGCTCCTGAGTATCGAATCAACTGCGACATGTCACTGTAGGTAGGGGGTGCAACGATGATGCTATCAAGAAAGGGAAACATCACAAAAGGAAAGTCGAAATCGTACCGCTTACACAGCTTAGTAGTAAGCCGTCCCTGTTGGTCATGTTGTAGGTTGAGATCGAGGGAAGCGGCTGAAGTCTGAAGAGTCTGGTATACTTGATTTCAGGGTCTGGAAGGTCTATGTGGTCGATGTGGCCAATGAAGTACTGTTATTCAAAGACAGCACATCGATGATATATCTGAATGTAAAATTAAATGACTTGGCTAGATTTTGGATACATATCCTATCAAGATCATCGATGAATTAAGCTTCGTATGGAAACAGAAACAAATCGGCGAGACGAGGGGTAGAGCTTGTTCCCATGGGAATGCCTACAGTCTGCTGCAAAATCTTTCCACCGAATTCAGCTTAGATATTGTCAACCAAAACTCACTCATTCTCACAATATCGCTCTCAGTGTATTTAATTTTGGCCATTGTTGTACTTCTAACGAAATAAGATACAAAATAACTTTCAACTGTATATTTATATCGCCGTACTTCTTTCTTTGAAATCAAAACCACGTATAACACGAGAACGTAGGTGTTCCTTCAGTGTGGTAGTGTTCAGGGTCGAAAAGTCAAAAAGTCAACAGTTTTCATAGAGAAACATTTTTGAGAAGATGATGTTCAAAATCGACTAAAAGATCTTTTAAAATCTTCAAAATCCACTCCTTGAATATACAGTATCACAATACGACTGGGATTTAATGGTACTGACAATGGTAGTGAGAAGTTGGGATACTAGCTTGGTTAAGCCAGTAGAAGTGTCAGCAATGTTCATAAGGATTCTTGACATTTTTTGAATCCCATGCAACCGAGTCAGGTCAATTTCTTTAGCATTGGTTGGTATCAAACATATCGCCTATCATGTGTTTGGAGAACGTAAAACTAAACATAACAAACGAATACAATGTACAATAAATTCACCCCAATGTGAATTATGTAGGATTTGTGTAAAATGTATATTCCGATTATATGAAATACACAGAGACTAACATTTGGCGTTAAAATCACCTTTTGACATAAAGAACGTATCTTGTATAAATGTTTAATCTTGTTTTTAACCTGTTAAGCCAAAATGAATGTTTAATTACTGTTTTATTTTCCAAAAATTATTTGCTCCAGATGTGAGCCTGATGTTGGAGCTTCAATCCGGTAACAGAGGCAGACTGACCAGCAATAAGGAAGACAAGATGATTACAAATAGAATTTCGTCCTCTTTATATCGTGAACTGGAATCTGTTGGAGTCAGTAGAAGAGCAGACGGACCCGGCAGTATTAAATCAGCATAATATAGGAAGTCCTGATCCTCGACAGAAACAACACTATTAGGATTACGAGTCAATTGGGAATCTAAATTTAAAGGAATTTTATTATCATCTGATATGATGGCTAGGTGGTGTAACAACCAGATATATGCGATTTCCTTTATGGGTACCTGGCCGAAGCGACTTCTTTCAGGCGTCCCCTTAGTGATAGTGGCGTTTCTTGTAGGACTGTGCTTCTACCTTCATGTCAGAGAGGAGGATATTTACTCCAGGGGAGGAGACAACCGTAATGTTGAGTCATGGATACACAGTTCGCCTCCAAGTAGGTCGTTCTTCGCGCTACATGTTGATATTCTCAGTATTGTCAACAGGCAGCTGCTGAATTTGACAACAGATATAGGAGAAATTAATCCACACCCTTTCCGGTATATAAATAATCCTGGTCATTGTCAGTTCAACAGCAATGGTTTGCGGACAGTGTTAGTTCTCGTGAAATCTACAGTACGTAATGTCTTACTACGGCAAGCTATACGGACAACTTGGGGCAATATTAGTGAAGAGAATGTCAAAATAGTGTTCATGTTAGGACGTAACCTCTCGAATGACCTACAGAGAACAATTGACCAGGAGGCTGCGAGGTATAAAGATTTAGTCCAGGAAGACTTTATTGATGCTTATTTCAACAACACACTCAAGTCCATAATGTCATTTAACTGGGCAACTCAATACTGTGGAAACGCGCAATTTCTCTTGTTTGTAGACGATGACTTTGTGATCGATTTACCCAAAATTCAGAGATATATTTACTCTATTCCAGAGACTGATGTTGAGACACTTTTCATAGGACATCGAATAACTCAACCGGTGGTGAGAGACCAAAACTCCAAGTGGGGTTTGTCATCGAAGGTATATCCATACAAGTATTGGCCTCCATATTTAGCAGGCGGAGCGTTTCTCGCAAGTATGCAGGTCGCCAGAAAATTTAGTTTTGCTTTTCCGTATATACAAAGTTTAGGTATAGATGACGCTTGGCTAGGTATTGTCGCTAGGAATGTAAGAGTACACCCACAAGATCATCATTTCTTTCATAATAACGGGAGGCACTCTCACCTCGCGCTAGTATACCAGTGTTGTCACACACAGAAGGAAATGTTAAACATCTGGTGGCAACATACACATAATACAAGCTTTCGATTCGGGAAACTATAGACTGACCTCTGAACGTATGTCCAGTAGATTAGTTGTAGGTCACCATTGTTTGTGTAATGACGAAATCCATGCGACTATCCTGTACCTCTTTTGTATTTTGCGATATGTGTATTGTCACATACATTCCCTGGCTTGAAGTACTTGATGTGAATTAACGATTTTTCAAGAGATATTTTTTCGAGTACAAATTTGTGACGTACTGGCGGTTGTTGTAAATAACTGATGTTTCACAAGAGATATATTTTCGAATTAAATCTGTGACGTACTGGCGCTTGTTGCAAAATACTCATATGTCACTCGAGATATATTGGTACGTTAAATATCTGTGACGTAATGGATCTTGTTGTAAAATACAAATATTTCACGAAAGATATATTTTGGAGTTAAATATGTGACGTACTGGCGATTGTTGTAAATGACTGATATTTTACCATCGGTATATCATTACGCTTCTTATCAGAAATCAGTCAGATAAAACAAATTCTAACCTCTAATCAAGTTCACGGGGGTCAAACTTTGAAGGAAACGCACAAACAACTTCTTACGAACAACTGGAGGGGCATAAAGTCATGATGTTCGGACAGTTTCTTGCTGGCATGTTGCTAAAAAATAACTTTCTTTACATTCCTTGTTATACGGGTCGATGATGTAAATGCATAAAAAGTTTTAGAGAAATCCTTCTGAAAAACGAAAAGGATAATGGTTATGATATTTTGTCTTGTAGGATACTTTGGCGAAGTACTGTCAAGTTTGTTCCAATATTTGACCATAACCATCTTTGACCGTTTCAAGGGTTAATTCAGTAAAAATATTACAGTATACAAGTAGAAACAACGGGTGAAGAGTAATACTATTTGGCATTTAAACGTAGCATGTTAGCTATCGAGTTTATTTTAATATCAACAGCTTTATCTTCTTTTTTTTTTTTTTATCTTCGACACACATCGAAGGTCACAGATTTATATATATTGATACGGTTTTTGAACAGCCTTGAGCCAAACAGGACAATTATGCCTCTTGTTGGAAGAAAGGAATTGAATCAAGATTAACATGAGCAAGTTTATAAGAAAAATATTGGGTTGTGAGAGATTTGTAAGTAATAATGTAAGCTTAAAAATTTGTAGACTCAGGTTATTGATAGCATCTTAAGTGTCGGCTATAACGTTTTGTCAAAGATCTGGAAATAATGAAATCATATCGGGTTACTCGCCAGTGTTATTACTATTATGCTTAATGTTAATACTTTTTAAAAGGTCATTTAATATGTTTGAGGTCAGATATACACCATGTCAACGTACCCCGTTTTAATTATTGATTTGACCTGATATTGCCCATGGAACTGCAAAACTCGTTTATTGTTTCATGAAAATTCGAGTATCAGTGGTTTTATGGTACTTATTGTTTAAAGCAATTAAACTCAAAAAAGAAAGAGGGACGTAAGCTGCCTTAAAATTACTCTAAGTTTTACCTTTTTGTAAAGAAAGTTCCAAATACATATATGAAACCTATTGGTTGAAATGAGATAATTAATTAGTGATATGTTTTCAGTTTCATAAAATACATTAATAAGACTTCTAAAGGTATAAAGGAATTATTTGATAATGCATTTATTCAAGGATACCTGTCCGGCTGCACTGTGATTTTTCCTATATAGAGTAACCTCCCCTTAATATCATTTTGGAAGTTACTGTAGCACAGTTGGTCCAGTATTCTGTCGTTGACTGGGTAGCTCAGTCAATAACATCGACAGCTCAGGTCTATGGTTCGAATCCTGCCACTCTGTATATGCATTAAATAGGTGCCCCTCTGTACATGTATTGACAAGGTGCCCCTCTGTATATGTATTGACAAGGTGCCCCTCTGTACATGTATTGACAAGGTGCCCCTTTGTACATGTATAAATGTGTAGAAAAACTAATAAAAAATTAAATATCAGTCCCCTAGCAGTAGGTTCAAAATGCCATCTGGTATAACAATAAGATTACAATAGGTAATAGAAGTATATTTTACAGAGAATGGTACAATAAAAGAATAATGGTAATTAATGATCTAATCAGAGACTTATGCATTTTACACATTTCAAACAGACTAATGATATTAATACAAAGTTTTTATGATACCAGGGTCTTATAACTGCCATTAGAGAGTATATTTTACAACAAGATAGGTCAAATGTAGAGGTAAGCTATCCATTTATACTAATAAATATAGAAATGTTTTTGAAAAATAAAACAGGCATAAGAATTTTTTATAGCTTATTTGGTAAAAATGATACTATTTCAACAGGTAAAACAAATGGGATGATAGATTTCAAATTGATNTTTTTTTTTTTTTTTTTTTTTTTTTTTTTTTTTTTTTTTATAAAATGCCATTTTAAAAGACAAAGAATACCAAATTACAGTGGTATTAGTACAGAATTAAACAGCTTATTTTGACAATTACCGGGTAATGCATATTTGTTTAAAGTAGGCATATATAGTAGATAGCCCTTACTGTGAATGAACATGTATTATGGCCTGGGAATGTGACAAAGTACCAAATCTTTTACAAAATTTTGAGTTCTTATTAGATGCATTCATTTATCCATTTTATTTTAATAAACAAACATTTCTATTATATGCCTTTATCTATAAAAGGAGTGAAAAGTTCAATTAAAGAACATTACAATATTCAAAAATATAATGCAAATAATAAAGAGGAAAAATATCTCATTAACTTCAAGAAAGAATGGAAAAAATGGAAAAGACTTATCAATATTTCCTAAACCTACAATTTGCCGATTATATGTTTTATCTTATTTACAATTATTTATTATTTTGAAAAAAAAGGAGACAGAATTGAAACATATTATCGCAATTACGTAGCTACTGACACCTATATATTACCAGATTTCTAATTTTCTATCCTTTACATTGTTTTGTTTAATATCTAATACTTAATAGAAAAAATCCTCATAATTTAAGATTTTGTCCTTTCTGTAAAACTGATATAGAAGACGAATTCCACTTCATTCTAAAATGCCCCTCCTTCAGCGAACTAAGAGGTAAATATATTTAATTGTATTATCGTGTTAATCCCTCTGTCTATAAATTAATCAAATTATCAACCGGTAATTTTAAAGAATTAATTAACACGGGTAAGTTCATATATCATGCATGTTTACTACGTGCTACTCTGTTGGCTTCTAAATAGTTTGATTTGCCAGCTCTTAGTTCATAAAAAATACCTGTATTTAAATTATAAATTCCATATGCTGATTGTATCTTACAGCCTGTGCTGATTGTTTATGTACATTATGAAATGTTCCTTTGAATCGATGAGATGCATATGCTTAAGATGAAATAAAGAATTTGAATTTGAAATATTTTGTCTTCTCCTTTGTCCGTCTTTCCAATTGTCAGTCTACCTGTCTTTCTTTCTGTCTATTTAGTTTTACCTGTCTTTATTTCTTCTATTTCTTTGATTTCTTGTTTTTCTTTATCTGATTTTCTTTCCTTTCTTATATAACATTACAATAAATATATTGCCATTTACTAAAAGAGAAATATGGATTAGTATGAAAGTTTATATGTGTAAAAGTGGAATTTGTTATGCATAATGAAATGTATGTTATTGTAATGTGAAAAATACTTCGAAAAAAGTAAATATTGAATAATGTGAACAATAGTGAAAATTCTTATTTAATGACTTACATTTTATATTATTTCATCATTTTACTGGTATATATGTAAATGTTGGTCACACCCCAACATCATTTTGTAAAAGTCAATCCTTAGTCAAAAAGACAACCTTGATTCAATACGTACCTTTAAGCTTTGTCACAGCACAATACCACAACGTGTAACAGTTGTAATTTATTTTGATTGAATCTCTTGGGTTCGGGTTAGAATCAATATAAAAGGACAAATATGTTTCTTTTACTTGAGCATATAAAGGGCATGCATATCATTTTCAATTAACTTTAAAGATTTTACAATCCAAACTCCCTTGGAGTTTTATTGAGGCCACTTCAAAGATCATGTTCACTTTGTATGGAATTATCTGAGTTACAAGTCATTGGTGCATGCTAGAAATGGCAGCAGTTGTAATATTTTCCTGCAACAGTGTATGATGTATGACATATATTAAATTTCAAAATATGTAATTTCATCATTGTCTGGTTGGTCTTTATAAAAAATGAACTGCAACCTAGGAAGATATGTAATATGAGTTTAAATTTATTTTGGATTCAATCATAATCAGTCCATCACCAAATTATATTAAGTTAATTAATTTATTGTCGGAAACTAGAGCTAGTCATAATTACTGTGGTAATCATTGTATACACTAAAATCCATCTAATTAGATTGCACAGATAAATATTTACTGACATATAATCTTCAACATAATTAAAATGTTTTATAGTCACTAATTTTTTCAACATTAATGTCAATATCTTTATTTAACATGCCTAGCACATTTTCATACTAAAGTTGTTAGAGTGTTATTTAGGTCTTCTCAACACTAGTCAAAATGCAAATAGAAAGAAAACCATTCCACATGTGTTGAGCTTAAAAAGTTTCGTCTAAGTGGCCAACTATTTCAGCATGCGGATTACGGAACATTCGGTTTTTAAATTTAGCTATATGGTACCTATATATATTTCTGACAAATTCTAAGGTGAACGAAAACAAAATCCCCATCATCGTGTTATTTTGTTCTTGTGACAATAAATCGGCGTTATCAGACACAGTAAAAATAACTATGGTATTCGCAAAATAACGCTGGCCAATCCATCATCCGTAATATTACACATGTGCACAATCGGGACACAGGGGTTCGTTACAAATGTCAGAAATACACATGTGCTATACTGACTGGGTCACAACACACACAAACTGTGGCCCTTATCAGTATATCATGTGTATTTCAGACATTTGTAACGAACCCCTGTGATCGGAAAGCACACCGGAGAGTTGATGCCAAATTCACCGCTAGTCTCCATGATCCAATTTTCTGATGATCCACATCGCAGTTTTTATAAACAATGCATCTCTTCTTCCACTAAAAATGCCTTGTCGTATTACGTCCAATTGCCTGCCTTCATCCCCTTTTTTCGGTAAAAGCCTCTTCCCGACTTTCATCAAGTGACAACAAGCGTCGCCTGACAAATTCTTTAAAAATACCGAATAAAGTAAGCGACATCAGAACATATGTTGTTAATATAACTTTAATACACCTCTATACCATATTTCAATTTGATATTTGAAAAAGTGACCGAGTTATGATGAATTGAATTTTACGATCTACGGCGTGGCACGTGTTTGAATATATTAACCTGTATAGTTGAGAAAGCGTTGCCAGACAAAGTCTTTGAAAATACTTACTAAAGTAAGCGACATCAGATGATATGTTATTGATAGGACTTTCATATACCTATATACCGAATTTCAGCTAGATATTTGAAAACATGACCGAGTAATGATCAATTTAATTTTTATGATCGGCGGCGTCCCGCACGTGTGTGATTTGAACTCCGCAGATCGTGAAGCGTCTTCAGACGTTACCTCTAAGATTAACCTTTAAAGTAAGCGACATCAGAAGATATGTTTTTCATATGACTATGATACACCTATGTGCCAAACTTCAGGTCGATATTTGAAAAAAAGAAGACATATAGTAATGTTGATATTGTTTTTTTCGATACGCGCCGTTACACACGTATGTAAAGAAATCTACGGATCGTGAAGCGTCTTCAAACTATATCTCTAAAAATGATGTAAAAAGTAAGCGACATCAGGCGATATGTTATTCATATGACTATAACACACGTTTATACAAAGTTGCAGGTCGATATTTGATCAAATGACCGAGTTATCGCGAGATATTTAAGTTTTATGAGTTTTTAAACGAATGAAGCTCTCGGCGTGTCACATATGTCTGCATTTTACATGCAATATCTAATTTTAAACAAAATTAGGCTTGTGGTCTTGATGGTTGGTTAAATGAAGTGTTTGTTACTTGTAAAGATTCATTGGCACCATCTCTAAAATTGCTTTTTAATGGAGTATCTAGTTCTGGAATTTCCCCAGATAATTGAAATATTGGAACAATTATACCATTATTTAAGAAAGGGGATGTGAATGTAACTGATAATTATAGAGGTATTACATCAGTAAGTTATTTTGGAAAACCGCCATTTTAAATGAAAGATTAGTTAATGTTGATAAAGTACATAATATTATCACAGATGTACAATTTGGATTTAGAAAAAAAAACTTCCCACGATAGATGAGTGTTCGGAATCATGCCCCTCTGGACAAGCAGCCACAAATCAAATCAACATACAACATCAACACCATCGTTATCTAAGTCATCACTAAAACACAGAACTAATAGAACAGGAAGCTCGCGTGTGTATGACCTACCACCAAAACAAAACCTACGAATCCTCTCACTTAACTGCAGAAGTATCAAAGTCAAAAAGGCGGAATTCATACAGACATCATATGCGGAACTGAATCTTGGCGCAGGGGAGTGAAACCTGGAAGGAACCCTACAACTGACGCAATAACTTCCAGGTATTTTTTTCCAGATGATTACATGGCCTACAGAAATGACAGGAGCACAACAGGAGGCGGTGTATTTATACTAGTCCACAAAAACCTAGTGTCTGAAGAAAACACAGAATACGTTACTGATTGTGAAATAGTATGGGCCAAAATCAAGTTAAAAGGAACAAGGCCTTGTTAATTGGATCATACTACATGCCGCACATAAACACCCGTGATATAAAAGAACTAGAAAAATCACTAAGTCTAATTTCGCAATCAAAATACAACAATGTGATGCTGACTGGAGATTTCAACTGCCCAGACATAGATTGGGACCTCGGAATTGTTAAACAAATTGGTGTGG